AAAAAGCTCGTCTCGAACGCAACACTCGTTTCCTAGCCAATGAGCACGCGACTCCCACTTGATAGGACAAAGTGCCGGCGCAGTCCCGCACGCGACGGTGATTTATAATCACACCCGACTCTTCGACTAGCCAACTTAGATAATAATATGTATGTACTATATGTGATATGGACGCCGGGTAAGTTTTAAGAGTTTATTGAAATGAAGAAGTTGGAGTAAGAGTAACTTAAGTAATTAGTTGCCATAGAAACGAATATAAAACTATAACTATTAGGTATCTATATGTAGTAGGTTGATACTTGATACCTACATCTGTCTACTATCTACCCCTCCTTACCTACGAGAAAACTAGTGAAAAGTTTGTATGTAGAGGTATGTACCTACACAGTTAAGTTTTTTATGAAACGGTATAAAGCAGATGGTGAAATCTAATTGCAAGTTACAAGTTAAGCGGTCGTAATAATTCTTGCTCAAAACATTTTAAGAGGCGCTTCGCCAGCTCGCGACGCGACGCGCGGTATGACTTCTGCAATCAAAGTTCCGTGGTCCCATAATTTCCAACCGTTAAGTTAGTAACAGCTTCCAAAACACTTTAAAAGGTCCCAACTTTTAATTAATTGAACTCATGCAATTCACAAAACCATTAAGAATAATGAATTTGCTTTTCTTTTATGGTGAAAAAACTAAAGTTAATTAATTACTGGAGAGTTAATAAACAGGAACATTGGGAAAATATACCTAAATGGAAATCAATGAACGGAATTGAAAAGCGCTAAAGGTTGTGGCGCCGTCGTAGCTGAGCGAGTAAACAGTGAACTGCCGAGTGTTGGGAAATTAGTAGGAAATTAAATTTCACGACTCCTGCCACGAACGCGACACTTGGCACCTCTCAGCGAACAAACGTCGACACGACACAGCAATGCTGCGCCACTGCTTCTGGCATTCTTAGCTGCTATGAAATACACATATTTTAGAATGTTGTAAATATATTTTGATACTTACAAATGTTGGAGTATTTTTAGAAGCCAGGTAGACATTTAGCTCCTATGTTTAGAAGCAAAGATGAATAACACAATAAGTAAATTTGAAATCTGGCAGAATGTTCTACAATAGTACACAAATAGACAAAGGTTTAAGTTAAACGGCTAGCAACAATAACTATATAGACTTAAGTTTCCCCATAAACATCAAAAGTACTACATAAAAAGAAACATGGCATTACTTGAGATAGCTTCAAATGTTCAGTTTGTTGATTGCAGCGCACATAACAAGCTGTCGTCGGCAAACTACTTATCTAAATTAAATCTCTTGGTCCTGGCGGGAAACAGTTTCCTTGTCGCATTTCACTCGGCAAATATTGTTGAAACTCTTTTATGTCTTAATATCGAATATTGTTTTTTCAGAACTTTTTTACTTCCGATTGTGACGTAAACAAATAATTTGGTGACGGTAAAAAGTAAATAACAAGAATTGGGTCTTCAGAATGAAAAACAGAGCTTTTCAGTTTTGAATCTTAAAGCAATAGATTTCAGATAGCGCCGCACATCGAGTGAAATGTCGTGGTGGCTCAGAGGTTTAAGACGCCCGCTTCTCACGCATGAGCGTGCGGGTTTGAAACCTACCAACGACTAGTACCATTGTGGCTTTTTCCAAGTGTAAGCCTTTCTAAGATTATTTAGACACCACTGACAAACGGTGAACAAAACACAGTGAAGAAGCTTGGGCTTATAATTTGTAATTATAAGTTTGACATCGCCAACCCGCATTGAGCAAGCGTGGTGATTAATGCTCAAACCTTCTACATGAGAGAAGAGGCCTTGCTCAGCAATGGGCATTTATAGGTTGTTGGTGTGTGTATGAACAACGAGTAGTTAGTCTCATGATTAAGAGGAAAGTAATAACAAAATAAGTATTACAACAATTTTTTATTTGCATTATAAATAATATTTAATAATTAAATACAATCACTTGTTAAAGAACAATACAGTGTACAATACACAGCAGCGTGATTCATGTTATGGCAACTATTACATAAGACTGAACACTAAAATAAAAAAATAAAGATTGCCTAATTGAATTATCACGCAAAAGGCTGCTAAATATCATAATGTCACATGGTACCAAATAACATTGAAGATAGCATCAGATGACATAAAAAAAAATCCATTATAAATAAAATAATGGAAGACTGACAAAAACATTTTATATAAAAATTATAAAAGAAACAACCATTTCTATATTCTCTATAATCATACTCTCATTATCTATCGTTATTTTAGGACTACAATCACGTACTTTAGATGCCATAACATTTAAAGTTTAAACAATGATAAGGCTTATCAGATCAATCATGTGTTGACTATGTCAGTGACAAGACCAGCAGCTATAGTTGTCCCAGCAACGCGGAGCATCACGCGTCCTAACTCCTTCACATCCTTGTACCGTTCCACACAGATGGGCCGACACACTTCTACCTCAACGACAGCCACACAGTTGTTTCCCAGACATCGAGGCTTCTTCTTTACCAACTCTCCAGTACTTTTGTTCAATAAAGCCTTCAACTTCACAATGTTTGCAGACTCAACCAGTGATTGATGATGAATGAGTACCGGAAATCCTTTCGTGATAGGTACTTTGACATTAAAAACTACAATTCTGGCTTCAAACCTTGTGGTGACAGGAACTTGCTGGATAGGATCACTTAATACATATCCCACAGAAACATTCTGCATGTCTACTCCAGTCAGTGTAACACTGACCTGGTCTCCAGCAAAAGCAACATTGCTTGGCATTTCATTAATGCTTATATTTCTAACTTCAGCCATTTCTTTAGTGGGGCACACAAGAACTTTGTCTCCTTTATTGATTACACCATTCTCTATGCGGCCTGCCACACAGAAGCCAGATCCAGTACCTTTATACACATCATTTATAGAAAAGCGCAAAGGTTTTGACACAGGTCTCTCAGGAACATTGAATTTATCAATAACATCTAAAAGGCAAGGTCCATTGTACCATTTCAGTAACTCAGCTTCTGTCGGAGACTTCACTAAGTTCTCCCCTGTCAATCCTGAACATGGCACATATGTGACATCAGAGTCTTTGAAGCCAGCTTGTTTCAAGAATGCTTTTAGTTTTTTTGTGATCTCATTAAATCTTTCTTGAGACCAATTGGATGTGTCTAATTTGTTAACAGCTACAGCAAGTTGACTTACTCCAAGTGACCGTACTAGTAGAGCATGCTCCCTTGTCTGACCTCCCAAGTCAAAACCTGACTCAAATTCTCCCCGAGTGGCATCCACCACCAGTAAAGCAACATCTGCTTGGCCAGCACCCGTTATCATATTGGGAATGAAGTCTGCATGACCTGGTGCATCTAATATTATAACTCTTTTTGTCTTTGTTTCAAATTGAGCTCGTCCAACATCCATTGTGATGCCTCTTACTCTTTCTTCTCCAGTTTCATCTAACACCCATGCATACATGAAGCTCTGTTTGCCAATTTTCTTACTTTCTTGTTCATATTTGTGCAGAGTTTTTTGACTAACTTCTCCCATTTCACATAGTAGCCTGCCCATCAGAGTAGACTTGCCAGCATCAACATGGCCTATTACTACTATATACAAGTGATCCTTGTCTGATCCTCGCTCATTTACATACAGTGTATTGGCATCTACTTTATTTTCTTTTACCTTGGGTGTTGATTTAATCTCATCAACTTGTTCAGTCTTTGAAAACCTCTCTGTGCAAGGTGATTGGTCTCTAGGTGTCTGAGGTCGACTGCTAGAGCTGCCATCTTGTCCAACTTTGAATCCTTTAACAACACCAACAGTCTTTGGTTCTAAATTAGTTGCTACAACTTTTGGAGTATTTTCTACAGTAGTAATAACGGGAGCCTTTACAGGATCTATGAGGACTACAGGTTTCACAAGTTCTGGCTTAGGAACCTCAGGTTCCTTACTTTTTCTATTCAATATGTCATCAAGAGACTTACTGAAGTCAAAATTGTGCTTAATTACAGTTTGTATAAGAATGTTGTCTGAAACAGCTTCACCGATAACATTTCTAAGTTCATCCAAGCAAGACATAAGCTTGGCTTCGTCTTCTTCATCGAGGTTTAAGCTTCGCAAGTCTATGGATTCACGTCGCTCCTGTGAAGAGAAACTTGTATCTGCCAAGTCTTCTTCAGTCTCTTCTTGGATGTTATTATGGTTCTGCAAGAATTGAATCTGCTGGTTGCGGCTCCGGTCATATATCCACTGTGCTGCGTCGCTTGGCGACATACAACTATCTTCTTCCACTGAGTGTCCATAAACATCGTCGTCGTCGTAGTCATCAGAAAAAGTCCTATTTCGAAAGTCACGGTGCCGAGCCATGTTAAAAACTTGTGTAAATTATTCTGGTTTTACTTAATTTCGAACATATTGCAGGATAGTTCGGGAAAAATCACACGTTTTCTCAAATCTTACAGCACTTTTTTGACAAATGACAATAGCAATTAAGTAAAAATGACACACCAATGTAAAGTGTGACGTAGACATGACACAATAACAACGCGTTCTAAATTATGATCATTTTATGTGTGCCGATTCCCTAAAACATATGTTCTAGAATAGAAGTAAAATTATATTCCTTTATTTTCATTCTTGTCAAAGCTAAAATTAATGTAATAAAATTATTTAACTACTTATTTTTAACCGACTTCTTTTAAATAAACACTTTCAATCCAAAGAACGCACTTATAATGCAGCAAGTAGTTTAGGAATAGAATATAGTCAAAATTAAGAATTAGCCAGATAAATAAATCATAAAGTAAATGTTTCACTGTCATAATGAATTTGTTGCTTATTTGTTTCTTTTTATCCTTTAACACTGAGTTTTAATTTATAATTGTATTTTTACTGAATTTTTTTAGACTGTAACATCAATTACATATTTCGGAACGATTATAGCGGATGTCAACACCAAATTCTATATTTGACAGTTTGTCTTTGTCTTGAGAACTGTCATTTTGTGATCTGTCTGCTGTCATATTACAAGTTATTGGCTTTGTCGTGATTGGGAATTACGCCTACTTTTCTATTTCTTATTGAATTTTAAACTTAGAAAGGAAATTAATTGATTATAATAAAGTCATCTTCAGTTGCAATTGTGTTGAACACAGGTTTATTTGTGGCTGATATTATTGAATGCTTATAAAGTTTTGAACCCTTGACCTATATAGTAAAACTTCGTCAACATGAAGAAAAAGGTGCGTATTTAAATAGATAAACTTGATTGTAATCGCTTAATTAATTATTCAAAACAAACTCGTTATCGGGTCTTAGTAAAAATTTATATTTTTGACCTTCATGATGATGATTGTTTATTTTCATAGTTATCTTTTGTTTGTCAGGTTTTGTTAATGGGCAAGAGTGGCTCGGGGAAGACGAGTATGAGATCTATCATATTTGCGAACTATATCGCCAGGGATACGAGAAGATTGGGTGCTACCAGTAAGTGATCTTTCTGCTCTTGTTATTTTGACCAAAAAGCATCTAATATCTATTGTAGAAGATAAACGATAAAAGAACCAAACAATTTTACATATGAGTCTTGCTATAATAATACTGGCAATATCAATCTCTAAAGTATGTGTATTGTGTGTGATTGCATCCTTTGATTGACTCATACAATGTACTGTAGATATATAGGTACCTACTTATTTAGGTTCATATTGCTTCCCTCGGTACAAAGTAACAACAATATGAATTCCATATGTTACAAAGTTATTTAAAGATCATTCAAATAATTCTCAGTCTTGTAATAATTAGTTTTGTTTTATTTTTGAACAATAGTTAGTTAATTAGTTTACATTCCAATGAGTTTGAGTGTGTTCAAGTACGTTTCAGCTTCAAAAAATTTGCAAAGAATGTGGTGGAAACAAATTGGGAATATGCTAGAAGAAAATGTTTTGTTTCAGTAATTATAAATCACTAATTAGAAGCATATTACCTATCTTATTTAAATCATAATATCAAAATGGTTTACAGTGTTTAAACTGAATTGGATGCCTTAGAAGTATACTTAGTCTGTAGAGTCTACAGACTAAGTATACTCTCATAAGTAATCTCTCGATACTATCAAGATGTTACATTTTTCATTTTATACAAATGTCACCTCTATTGTGTACAATAGAGGTGACTACTGGCTCCCGCTATGGGGACTAAAAAGAGACATTACCTTTCCTTATTGTCACAATTTATCATAAAAAAAATGATATTATTCCAGTTGACGTAGAACACTCACACGTCCGATTCCTCGGCAACTTGGTGCTCAACCTGTGGGACTGTGGAGGTCAGGAAGCGTTCATGGAAAACTACTTTGCCTCACAAAGAGATAACATCTTCAGGAATGTTGAAGTACTGATTTATGTATTTGACGTGGAAAGCAGAGAAATGGAGAAAGACATGCATTACTATCAGTCCTGTTTGGAAGCTATTTTACAGGTAATTGAAAAAAGCTCTCTCTATTTAATTTTTTAGATAAAACACCCATTTTACACTTGTTATGTTAAGGACATAGCAAGCTATTAGCGGCACTCATCCACTGATAGTACATAATCTGATTATAAATAATAGTTATACTTTTGCTTTATACTCTTTTTACTTTGGTTTTTAAACAAGTTCGAAAAAAGAAAAAGGTTCTCAGTTTGACCTATATGTTTGTGCATGATTATGTCGTGATAGGCTCAGCCGATTATGATGCGGTTTTCAGAAAAGTGTTTGTTACACTTTAGAGAAGGTTTTAGTATATTAACTCGTCAAGTACCGTCATTATAGACACAACTATACAACAATAGGTTGCGGTCACCGGTGACCGCTTGGTGTTTGACAGTTTAATTAACCAACTTTAAAATAAGGGGTTTGAAGTCGGTTTTTTTAATATTTTTAATAATTATATTTATAGCTATAACTTTGTTCTGTTATCTATAAATACTATAAATATAGTACAAAAATCGTGATTATCATATTATTTTTCAAGGCTTTAATTTTTTTGATAAAATATTACAATGTCAATCTGTTGTGATAAATTGATAAACACTTCTAGTTCCTCCAAGATGTAGATCAAATCTGCTTTTGGGTGGATGATACGGCAAAATTACCAATGTCATCTATGTAAATAATTGCAAACAATAAATATTACTATTTATGACAACTACATAATTATAAAATCTCATCATGTATAAATTAGACTCCAACTGTAGCTCAGTCTTCAACTCCTTACAATATTGATATGGCTAATTATAATTTTATAAAGACTTGATAATGTAGAAAGCAATAACTAGCTAATATTTGCACACCTAATGGCATGCAATTGTCTCTGAGAAACACACAAATATGTATTGTTAATTTCTTGTGAATACAATTAGACTAATTATTATTTAAATAAAATAATGACTTGACTAAGTAAGAAACATTATGATACACTGTTTTGTTATGATATTACACTATCAAGTTTTATGGTGACAGCAACAGCACCATAGCCCGTATATCGTCATCGGTGACCGTTTTTCACTAACTACATTATAGACTTTATTTCCAATGTTTAGAGACTATTTTTGTATGAACAAATTTAGGGGATGATTTTCAACAATTTTCAAGGGGATAGAATGTGTTAGTCTCTCTCTCTATGTAGGGCTGGAAAGACCGAATATGGGATAACATATTTAATAGAAACTAGGCTGCAGAACTCTGATAAACCCAAACCTTTTAAGCTATGATCTGCTACCCAAGTATGAAATGAAGATTGTAGCAAACCAAATATATTTGAGTTGTCTAATCCACCAGTGAACAGTCAAGATGATGACATCATTCTAACAAATCATTTTCTATTTAAGGATATTATTGGTTACCTATAAATGTGTAGGTAATAATTATAAAAATAGGAACAACTAACTTTTATCCCTAAGTTATACAACTTTTCCTATACAACAGCAAAGCAAATCTATTTAAAACTTTATTTTTAAACATTGTATGGTGTACATTCGAACACGTAGCACGGAGTCTGAAATTGCGCCCGGTATATGGCAATAGGCTCACCCCCTATTACATGGGACTCTAAACATAACTAGTGAAAAGTGGATGTTACATTGTACAGTGGCACAATGTGCACCTCTGCCTATCCCTTCGGGGATAAAAGGCGTGATGTTATATATACATTCGTACATAACATAGTAGTATAAGCCTTTCATTCCTTTCATTAACTCTTTCAGTCACACTTTTAACTGTTTATGAATATATTATATTCAATTATACTGAAATGCTTAAAAACCAATGCAAAGTAATTTGAAGCATACTTCAAAAATTCAATTTCTAAGAAAAGGTGGTTAGTTACAGTGACCACCAAGACTGAAAGAGTTAACAGAAGAGGTATACTCCTTGTGTAGGTGTTAATATAATTGCCCTATAAAAGGGAAAAAATATGCGCTAACAATAATAATAAATTCATTTATACTATTATTTCAGACTCAATTTTGTCCATATAATTTTAGTAGCTTATACATCACTAGACACTAATTCCAGACTACCGAAATACTAAAACACGCGTTAATGCTTTACCTGCTCGAGCTGAACATGAGGCCTTTTGATGGGTAGACGCATTTACAGCCACCACCAATGGTAAGCAATTGACGTCGACCATGGACACCCGAAACACCAAAGGCGTTACAAGTGCGTTACCGGCGTTTTGGGAATTAGGAATTTGAGGATTGTTTGGGGATTCAGAGATTGGGGAAGGGAGAAAGGAGAATTATTGGTAACCTCACTCATACAACGAAACACAACACAAGCGTTGTTTGACGTCGGTTTTCTGTGAGGCCGTGGTAGCACTCCGGTCGAGCCGGCCCATTCGACCATGCCAAAGCATGGCTCTCCCACACTTAAAAACGCTTAATCAATCAAGTTGATAAGTTTACTCAATTAAGCTATCATAATTTTCCCCAGAACTCTCCAGAAGCGCGGATATTCTGTCTAGTGCACAAAATGGACTTAGTACCGGAAGAGCAGCGCGAGGAGATCTTCAAGGAGAGGGAGGAGGACCTGAAGAGGCTCTCGAAGCCTCTGGAGTGTACCTGCTTCAGAACTAGTATATGGGATGAAACTTTATACAAGTGAGTTAACTACATAGTCCACTACTGCCGACACTACGGCATTTATGCTTCATAAATCATAAGGTTAATCCCGGGCTAATAATTTATGACGTAACATGGAAACACAATATCGTTCACAGCCGATTCCTTTGTGTACGTTCAATAATTTTTGAGTTTATCGCGATCAAACAGATTGGAAGGAATCCTAATACACCTTTTACGTTTCCATAGCAACACAATTTGTATGCAAATATTTATTATAACACGGTACGTATATGCATACAATACAATGTCGTAACCTCTTATCTCAGATCGATGTGACGAACACATCGGTTGCTAACTGTATTCGATATACATACCTACCATTAAACCATTTTACCTCACAGCATATGGCATGTGTTATTATAATAATGTATGAATAATGTGTTTATGAATCATTGTGACTGCCGGTCATGATTCCTTTTTTTCATGGTTTCACACATACTGATTAATCTATATATATATATATATATGTCTCAGATTTCTCTAGTTGTGTTAGTCCCTTGGGAGCAATGAAACGGAACGACTAGCGTTGTTTTTTTTTTTAACTTTATCGAACATTCAATGACTTAAAAAAATATATACCTTTTGTTATATTGGGGGATTAATTATTATAAGTCGGATTTGTTTTACTTGACTTTATTTTAATTACATTTATGGACAGAGCACACGAAGTGTATATCATCACGAATCGACATTTTGGAACGAGCGCCTAGCTTCACTGACGGAAAGATTGACAGACTATTATTTATTTCATATTTGTTGACGTTTCAAAAGTACCAAATTATGGTTTCATTGAAATAAATGCTTTTGAGTTTGAGTTTGATACACATAAAGCATGATACAGATCGACGGCGCGCTCCGTGACCTCTGTTGATCGTATGTAGTACAATATAGTGAAGGGACCATCACTTATTAAACTAGTGATGTTTATACCTGTAACACCTCTTACAACAAAATGTTCTCATTCCAAAGGTAACTAAAGTGCCATTCACATGACATACGTTACCAATTCATAAAATACTATTTTAACAAAAAATATTTATTAAGAAACGAAAAAAAAGATACCAGTGGCTTCTTTTCTTTGAATCTAAGTACAAAAATTTGTTCTCTATCTCAGAGATTTAACTTAGAACTTAACATAATTCACACTTAAATATTTTTAGTTTTTTAATTTTTATTTTTGCGATTAAGGAATTCTCTTTGCTAATATATAATTCTAAAAAGTTTTATGTAAGTATAGTAGTAACCTTTAATATAAATCAAGGTTAACTACAACTATCCTGCTTATTTACCGTGTCTGTATAGCATATAATATTACTGATTTACAATTGTGTCGTTTTCAGAGCGTGGTCGAGCATAGTCTACAAGTTAATACCTAACGTGAAAGCGTTAGAGTCGTCACTCAAACAGTTTGCGGAGATCGTGGACGCAGATGAGGTAAAGTCATGTTTATTAGAACTTTAATCATCATAATAAAAGTTCTTAACATCATCCACTTTATCATCCACCTATTCTATCTAAACTTCCCCTTATACACTTGGCTCTGCCACGTGTATAAGGTTCTTAAACTCTTACCAGAAGATAATAAAAATATCTTTGAAAATATTTGTACACTCCATAATATCTTACAATAACAATAAATCGTCTCAAGACATTGGTCTTGAGACGACATAAGTATTGACTTATAGAATACCAAATTGTTTCACAATTACACAGACATAGTATTAGTAGTCAGACTATCCAAACAACAATAATAGTCCTTACAGCTTAGTTAATAAGAGTGGTATTTGTCTGCAGGTGCTACTATTCGAGCGTGCAACGTTCCTAGTAGTATCCCACTGCCAGCAGCGCGCGCACCGCGACGCGCACCGGTTCGAGAAGGTCTCCAACATTGTCAAGCAGTTCAAGCTGTCCTGCTCCAAGCTGGCTGCTCAGTTCCAGAGCATGGAGGTATATATTAAATAACAAATTATATGCAGCACATTTTGTGATATAATAAGGCATATTAATAATTTAGATAAAAAAATCTTGACACCAACAAATGTTCCATTGGTCAGATCAGCGCCTTATATTGCGCCAAATTATTATTATATTATCTTTGTAAAAAATACTTCAGCAATGCGATATACAAATGATGTTAACGGAATATATTTTCAATTCTAGGTACGCAACAGCGTGTTCGCAGCGTTCATAGACGGCTTTACAAGCAACACGTACGTCATGGTGGAGATGTCAGACCCCAAGATACCTTCGGAAGCGACCCTCATCAACATCAGGAACGCGCGCAAACACTTCGAGAAACTAGAGAAAGTGTCATCAAGTGCCCCCAGCCAGTACCAATGAGACAGTGCGATTAAGAAACTGTGTAGTAAAATTTCTATGTACTAGAAGTGCAAAGCACCGTTGTCTTGCCAAAGCAAGTCAGTGATAGTCCGTTTGTTTGTTATGCGTGTGGACGCGAGAAGCTATGACGTCACACGTTTGTGTAGCTAAAACAGGTATGTGTTATAGTTTGTTGGAATTATCCGATTCTTATTATCGTTGTTATTATTATTATCTGCCGTTTTTCTCATAATTAATCCCTAAGTTTGGCTGGTTGGATGTTGCAGTTACAGTTATAGTTCGGAAGAAATTGAAAATACTGCTGGCCGTGAGTTGGTGACTGGTCATAGTTATGGGACATACCCAGCTCCCTATCCTTATATATTTTGTACAATATATTAGGTATGTTTGCGCATTAAAGTTAGATGTTTGCGCAAATCCCCTATAAAACTAAATTTGCGCAAAATGTAACATATCGTTGCGCAAGTGCGTACCGATTAACCTTTTGTGTACGCATACAAAAGGTTAATCGGTACGCACTTGCAGACACAGACAGAGCACTTTAAGACACAATAGAAGAAACATTATGTCTCGCGTAGATTTGTGCTCCGGCGTACCATGAGTTAATAAGAATCGGATAATTCGCAAACAAGTGAAACGGGTTATTTGTAGGCACAATTATTTGACGTTATAAAATAAATAATTATTAGTATTCTTTATATTATCCAATAGCTGCGCTCGAAAAGTTCTTGCGACGGAATTAAACTGTTATGTTCAGGACCGATTAATAGTTTTATGCATTATTTTGTTTAACAATTATTAGATTTTATTGGAATTCATGACTACCTTTTAGTTTTCAAATACTCGTACGAAATGATATCTTAAGTTTTTCTTGACAAAACAGTCGCTTTATAGAAACTTGTGAAGGCTTTAAATGTTCAGTGCCTTACAAGTTAATAATATCAAACTTGTAGATATACGGGACAGTTACATTAAACTAATAGTACTTTGTAATTGTTACTTTATCATTAGCAAGAATATATAAACATTGCTAAAATTAACGTTGGCTTTAGATTCCAGTTGATACACCTTACAAAGTATACCTGTTAATCTCCAAAGAGGGTAGGCAAGTTATATTAATTGTAATTATACACAGGATAGAAATTAAATTACTTTGAACCCTTTTTCTCTGATTGCCTGAACGTCCACACGACAAATAATATCTCGAATCGCTTTAGTAAATTAGATATCGAGATGTTTGCAGTCGATAATAACAAATGGGCGGAGACAATACATAGTTCCTTCATTGGCTTGTATTCGTCATTGATTGTGATCTTTATACGACAATATACATCTATAGTTATTGCTTATTTTTTTTACTTAGGTCGAATACTTTGTTTGCGCTATTTTGCGCAAAGACGTCAAGCTATCTAAAACTTGTCTTAATCTTCAATTTTAGACTTTAATACATACACTATTGAGTTTGAATTTTATTGTAGAGACAAGTTAGAGTAGCTTTATGTGCTAACGCCTATAGATACTTTCCTTCTTAGCGCAAACGTTAGCGCAACTCAATATGGCCGACAAAATTAGGTGATAACTGCGTTTCATAGTTTTCATAATTTAATCATACATTTAATTATAATTCTAGGTAAAAATAAATCTAAATAATAAGAATGTGTAGACGACGAATTTGTATGTTATCCAAAACGGGTCTGTTTGTGTTACGTGTTTTTAACTGTTTTTACTGCTCCTATCACAAATATGTTGATGCAGTCGCATACAAAATTTTTAATAAGAGAGTTTGCTTCAAGAATTTTGTGTAATAGACTACTTGCTAATGTCCATTCCTTGATCTTTACATTGAAATCGACATGTGTGATTGGGCGATCATAACCTAATTCTTTATTAACGCCATCTAGTGAGCACAAGAACGTAACTCTTAATGACTTCATCGCTCCCTAAATATCCATTATAAACTCTTTATACACACAAACCTTCTGGAAAGAAATACATTACACTGAGGGTCGAAAGTATGAACTCAGAAGTATTTTTGTTAACCAATTTTTGCTATACAATAAAAATGTTCGTTCGGTCAATCTTTATTATGATAATAATTTCGTTAATTGACTTCAATTTGTTTTGGAGAAAATTAGTTAAAAAGAAACATAGTTGGTTCCATATTTAACCCTCTAAACTCTAAAGCCAAGGATACATTAGAAGGCAAATGTCCCACGATACCGCCGATACATCGGCGACATGTCGAGCGAAGTCGGCCGACTTCGCCTGATGCGCCTGCCAAACTATGTTCCCTGCGCTGCTCCTCGCGCTACCGTGATTTGCCGTGATGTTGCCTTCTCTGCCCACACACTGCTTCACTCGCGCAATTAATCGCGACGCTCCTATTGCCGGTCCTCGTTGTCTCCTCGTATTGCCGGTCCTTTGACTCGCGCGCATAAACCGACAAAATAGGGAGCAGTGAGCAGAACGAGGAGCATGACGTGTAATGTTGCCAAATGTCTCTGCCTCCTTTCCTCGTTACTTCCCATACCACTCGTCAAGTGTGTGGACGGCGCATGACATATATGGCGACAACGCGTGAGGAGAAGACCTGTGTCGCGCTATGTTGCCAGACATATCGAGCGAAGTCCGGCAACATCGTGCTACCTCACCTCACGTCGCTGGGACACGTGTCTCAGGACATTTATTTGTCCCCTAGTGTATTTGCTTAAAGCCTCTCAATAAAATAATATCGATGGGTTCTTGCACTAAGTGATTGGACCCAAGTCAGGTTAACTTATACCATGACTGTGGTTACTTTGTACCTATTATAATTATTCTATTAAATTAATATTGCTGTTTTATCAAATATTTATAAGTTTAGGTTATGTGTCTGTGATTGTGTGTAGATTACAATTTCAAATAATCATTGTGTGTTAGATCTCATGTTTAGTTTTCAAGGGATTTTATATTAATACATGACTTGATGAAGAATGCACTTCATATCCAACAAACTGAGAGGTACTTAGTTGTCAAAAGTCGGCCAATTAAATATAAAAAATTGTACCATTTATAGTTTAACCTTTTATTTGTCAGTTCTGCCACGACGGTGACGCAAACAAATTTAAACCATTATTTTAAGTCGTAAATTATATTTTTCGTTGGACATTATGACCCAACAGTCAAAAGGTCATAGACATTTCTATTTATATTTTCAATAAATATGTAGTAATATGTATGTAATTTAAACGCAATTATTAACTGAAATTGTGATCTAAATAAATAATTATTGTCTGTTACATCGTTATTTTTACCGGCGGACTGAGTCGCAGTCTAGTTTAGTTTATTCAGATTTTAAGTTACTATTTATTGCATACAGTCAGCCTAAGATTAAGCTCTATGTATCCGATATATTTATGTTGCACAATATTGTAATAACTAGCGACTAATATGTTGCTATTTATACCACAAGCCTATTAAAATATTTTTATATTTATTTACTGTGTTTCATTATATTGTCTTTACCTCATACCTACTTAAATGAATCTCAAAGACCGAATTACCTAATTCTAGTGCAGGTGGTTGCATTAGCGACTGCCGAGCAAAAGAACCTTGGGGAACAAGAGGTCGGATAAAGTAAGTACCTATAATAATATGGACAAACGACAAACAGTCAATTGCATAAATGTTGTTATGCAATATCCTTCATCAATAACGGGACTTAGATACGCGTACAAAGTCACAACGTCGTTAGTGTATTAAGAAATTGATTCATTGTATTTAATTGACCCAATATCACCATCACAAGTACCTAGGTACTTGTCCAACGGCCACAGGTTAGGTTAGTAACACTGCGTATTGCATAACGAATAGTAACAGTCTTTAACTGTGTATACACGGCCACACATCAATCTATACATAACCAGTTTTTTTTTTTTTTTTTTTAAGGGGGGAAAATCATCGAATGACTGCCCCCGCCTGGGTGAGGCGGGAGGGAGTGTCAGACTCTTACTGACTAAAAACCACCCCGTTCCTTCTCCTGCACGTCGAGCCGGAGCCCCGGTTACCCGTTAGGTTCTCCGCGACATACATAACCAGTTTACCCTGGTGTCGCGTCGCATCATCTTTCCGTACATTTAACGTTCACAGTTTACCCTGGTGTCGCGTCGCATCATCTTTCCGTACATTTAACGTTCAGTTTATACTGGTTTTGTAAAGCAATATGTATTGTATAGCCGTGTGTACAAATTGATTGAGCATTTTTATGTCATCATACCCATTAATAAGTGTTAGCTTCCTCTCTATACAATACAAGTAGATGCTTACTTTTATCGAATTACCTAACGCGGTCGACGCCGCTTGCAGAGGCTTTTTTTTAAGGGGGGAAAATCATCGAATGAATGCTCCCGCCTGGGTGAGGAGGGAGAAAGTGTCAGACTCTTGCTGACTAAAAACCACCCCGTTCCTTCTCCTGCACGTCGAGCCGGAGCCCCGGTAACCCGTTAGGATCTCCGCGACGCTTGCAGAGGCTAGTGGCACATAATAATGGCTACAACGTGACATCATGAAACAATGGTCAAATTGGGACTGATTAACGTTCAAGATTTGACCGTTTTGTCTTATTTATGTTTAATTGTTAGACTAATAAACATTAATGAATCACGACATTAATGATGCACGTGATAACATTCCATTAGTTACCTACTTAAATGACATAGACAGTGTACATTTAATAGGTAAAATAACATACTCAGGTTAAGGTCATACATAACGTGACATACTAAGGCAAGGCATGTATATAGATATTTTTTTTAAGGGGAGAACATCATTGAATGACTTCTCCCGCCTGGGTGAGGCGGGAGAAGACTCTTACTGGCTAAAAACCACCCCGTTCCTTCTCCTGTACTTCGTGCCGGAGCCCCGGTAACCCGTTAGGTTCTCCGCGGCTAAGGTGTCGGTGGTTAGGTCTTTCACGTGGTAAAGCTAAGCTTCAGCGCGAATGGCCCGGCTCAACCGACGCGGCGTGATATCATAGCCTCATAGAAAACCAGCGTGAAACAACGTTTGCACCAAATTTTTTTACTTCATATGGTAATTCGTCATTGAGCCTAGTGTCGTCCTGTGTCCCCGTGAACTTACAAACTCATAAAAGATACTTAAAATCACCCTTTAAGGGGTAAACAAAGAGAGAGTGTCAGACTCTTACTCACTAAAAACCACCTCGTTTCAATTCTTTTTTCGAGCTGGAGCCCCGAAATAGAGAAGTCGCGTCTTCTATACCCCACTGAAAACACATTTATCCGGAGTTCTGTCATCACAAATTGAAATGGTTGAATCTGTTACAGCTTTATAAAATACTTCGATAGTTAAACCGAAATAACATTTGATGATAATATTATGACGCAACCAGCTGCTCAATTTCTATCGTCTCAAGGTCTCGGTCGAACTAAAACTGTGTTAGTTGTTTTACCGCGACCTTCAACTGTTAAATAGTAAATACTACTCCGTTTTAAACTAAAACAACTAAGTACCTACATATCTATGGAAACTTTAATTAAAATTGTCGTAAAGAAAACAAGCCTAAGATCATCAATGCAAAGCTGGCTAGGACACAGCGACAACTAGTTCCCACTAGTAAAACTACTAAAGTTTATCACGAATGAACTTAAACAAAATTTCCATTCTTGTTATAAATGGGTATACAACTTAAAATAAATGTGAAATAACAGATACCGAGTGCAAAAAGCACACGTCTTATGGCGCTGCGCACGTAATCTTCACACGGAGTTTCGGTGTAGAGTTGATCTACAATTTAAAGGCTAAAAAACGCCGTACACGCTATCTGCCTGCAGTGAGACTCGGACTTTATCGCAGCTAGAATAAAAGGTACGTGATCGAAAGTGTGTGTATTTTTTTACGGTACAATAGGATTATTATAGGTGATGCCTGTGTATTATTATGTAGTATCCTGCGTGATGTGAATCCCCAGCGACAATCGCCAGTGATATCATCGGACTGGCTCACTGAGTTGCCCGTTCTCAGTCACTCGTCAGACTTCACGTGTTAGTGTCGTGGTGTAATCAATTGTTATAATTTTAGTGTCCTTGATTTGGAACAAGGTTAGTTTGGTTCAATTTAGTGATTTAACGTGAATGTGATGCAATTTTTTTACTAATTTTAGTATTTTAATATATTTTTTGTTTTGAATTTTATTAGTTGTGCGCACTGGTGTGTGTAGTCGTGTAGATATTAAGTTATTTCCTTCAATGTAGATGAATTAGGTATTTGCATTTCAACTCGTCTGAATTAATTGAACGTGAGCGAAGTGTCTGAATTGTTTGATAAGAAATTATGTATCGTACAATTTGACACCCAAAAAATGTGATGAAATCTTAGAAAAACGTGATTAAATTAAAACGGATAATATAATAAATTCCACAGTTAAACCAGAACCAGTAGATACTAATACAGATTGGTATAGTTGAGGAAATCTAAATTGGTATTGAGTGCTATTATTCAAAGCAAATATTTTAATGAAAATCCTGTCTTGCCAGAGCAGCCAGTCGTAGTCATATGACCGTGAACCTGACGCCTCATGGAATGTGTTTAATATCTAATTATGAACGTTTCTCGAAAATGTACCTACATATAAAAATAGAAGAAGCAGCTTAACCTTGTCGATCAAAGTTTTATCAAATGTTTTAAACCGACCGCAAGAATTGGACAAAGTCAAAGGTGTTAGCTAAATTGTTATAAATTGCAGGATACTGGCACCTTTGAAAGAGATAATCAAGTCAAAAATATCAAATAAAATATCAAAACATCCTACAAACAATACAGAGGACGTTTTGTATTCCTTTCACGTATTTAAACCTCATAATATTAGGGCAGACATAATATTAGTCGCGGAGCACCTAACGGGTTACCGGGGCTCCGGCTCGACGTGCAGGAGTAGTAACGGGGTGGTTTTTAGTCAGTAAGAGTCTTACGCTCCCTCCCGCCTCACCCAGGCGGGAGCAGTCATTCGATGATTTATCCCCCTTACAAAAATACTTAATATTAATACTTTGGTTTCCATAATCATGTAAAAGTCACACCAGCTATCACTTTGCAACTATTGATTAGGCACTGTTAAATATAGAGTGGAATCCTTATATCAGCTACTTATCGCAAAATGATTTCCTTTAGGTACCTACACGCATGTTCTTTTTGCCGGTGTACGTCCGATAAAGATGGAATACGTATACGATTGTTATAGTTTTGCAATTTTAACATCCGTCTGTGAGCAGTTTTTTTTTTAACATTCACTTGTTAACAAGTTTGATTGATAGTACGTCACACCCGCGTAGGTATTTAAAAAATATACGTAGGTACGTAATAAGCATAAGTATAGTCAGTAAGGAACGAGGTACCTACCTACCTACGTATACTTACGCCTCTTAGGCACCAGAGGAGTAGATAGAAGTACATTTCTTTTTTTTTTTAGAGGCCAGATTCTGGTATTAGCAATTGCAAGAATACAAATTCACATGAGAACATAATAAGTTAGCTAGTCCAGCTCAACTTTAGCTTATGAAACACATCACATCACAGGTTACGTGTTATTCGAGGAACTATGCACTTTAACTACCTGTGGCTTTCATCATTATCTAGATACCAAGCTACTGTGACGTACTGTGTTGTACACCAAGGATTAAATGAGAGTCTCACTTTAATTATTATTGTTATCGCTCAATGTAGTGACTTTGTGCGTCCAGCTGTCACGCTACCGGTAGCGGGTTCGATTTCCGCATTTCCGTGAAAATCTCCCACTCGACACTCCCTAATTTATACCTCATTACCTACCTAGAGACAGTAGGTAAGTACCTACAATGAAACAAACATCAATAACAGAGGCAGTAACTACGTGACGTATAAAGTAGTCAGCCATTCGACTCAGTCACAACACATCGAAGGAGACACATGACGAAACTAATAAGACTGTTTTCCTCATTTCAGTAGCAGAAATGGCGCAGGAAAAACCAGTATTCGACTACCATGAGGAAAGCCAGAGCGAGAAACTGGTGCGAAAGTCGAAGGAATCTCCTTTTATGGTTTTAGGTGTGTATTTCATTTTGTTTATTTAGCCTTAGGTACCTAAGTACCCTCCAGTAAAAATAATAGCATGTGTAGGTAGGTGACTGTTTGTACTTTTTAACTTTTTTTAAGTCTTCTCAAAAAAATTTGATACAACCATATTTTCATGTATCTTGGAAATTTCGACTGAGGACACTAACGTGCTCGCCAATTTATGGTTGACTGCCAATAGAAAACTGTTGAAGGCAAGTTCTCTGCTAACGTTGGTCACTGGCGACTCCCATGGCGTTTAACAACTTTCTACGATAACATCTTTCTGCCATAAATTAATAACTAATTACTAAATAAGTAAATATTACCAAGTCACAAAAATAATACGCATATTGAAACTAGACTAGATAGCTACTGGACACCTACAGTTACAATAAACAGCGGATTTTCCTGTTCATTCTTTCGATAGCTACTGATACTGCAACGTACACACATCAAAATTTTTACGGATATCGGAAATTAAATTGCGTGTACCTACTTATTACACTTATTTTAAAGGAAACTGCTTAATTAGTTTTAGCATAGATTAAAGGTAATTAGCTAGCTATGGCTTAACTCGCCGAGTACCGGTTTTGTAGACACAATTATAGAACAATAGGTTGCGGTCACCGGTGACCGCTTGGTGTTTGACAGTTTAAGCCAAACTTCTAGTTCAGGCAAGGATAACCAAGTGACCTTTATACCTAGGGAACCTGCCTTTTAATCTGTCTGTTGATATTTCCGATAATTTTAAACTTAAACTACGATATCTAAACCCATCGATAGGTAGGTAGATAGAGATTTCCTAAGTATTGACGTATGTATTCTGGAATGCACTACGAACATAAAGTTATAGTGTAAGCAACGCAACGTGCAGACGCAATAATTATGTTGACATAATTCAGTGAATGACGTCAAACAGATCGATTCAATGAAATCAGACATAGTTAGAATTGGAAGTAGGTACGTACCTACCTAAGCGCTGGTCCATTTACTTAATTGAATTGAATAGATAACTAAGTAATCAGTTACGCCCTAGACAAATAAAACCATGTTACTACTGGGCGGATATTTACCGTGAAAATGAAATCTATAAATTCTACAGACAAGTGTCGATGCCAGCTAAAATTAACTAAAGACCGTACGTTGATACGAATACTGAGCGATTAATTGCTCTGTGCTATGTTGTTATAATTATTTCGATTTAATACCATTAATAAATATTTGTATGATCTACGGATTAGCAGATATAAGTACCTAGTAGAAACGGAAAAATGTCCCGGTTAACAATTTGCTCTACGGTCTAGATACGGAGTGATTAACAATTTATAATTAATTAACGACCCGGCCCGGCTTCGCACGCATGCAATATGCGTGTATTATACATAGAACCTTCCTTAAGAATCACTCTATCTATTAAAAAACCGCATCAGAATCCGTTGCGTAGTTTTAAAGATCTAAGCATACCTACACAGGGACAGACAGACGGCGGATAGCGACTTTGTTTTATACTATACGGTGACTATGTCTTAGTTCTAGCTACGCACAATGTGTGTAAAAAAGACAAAGATTTCCCAAAGATTTTCTCTCGAAATCCATATGAAATAGGCATGTCTATGTCACCTAGTGGTAGGTACCCACCAAACCACTTACCAAAATTGTTATTCAGAAAGCATACAACCAAATGAAACAACTAAACAACAGTATAGAATTTCAAAGACACTTATCAAAGATTATCTATTATTGTTCATCTAGGCTGCTCACTAAATCTCGCGTTTTTTTCTCCCACAGCCATCGCGGGTTGCGCGGGAGCCGTGGGCTACGGCGCGTGGGCATACAAGAACCGCGGCAAGATGAGCACCAGCGTCTTCCTAATGCAGTTCCGTGTGATCGCCCAAGGCACAGCCGTCGGCGCACTCTGTGCCGGCATGGTCTACACACTGTACAACAACCACTTCAACCACAAACCCAAGGAAGATCTCGCAATATTACCGAAATCCAACGAGCACTAAATACTGTCTGTAACATGTATACTTGTAGGAACCTATTTAATTTTAGCCATGTAGGTAATTTTAAGTCCCTTATGGGTAAAACCAGAGCTATTTTGTGCGATGCGATGTGTGGTGTGGGGTGTCTTGCAACTGACTGGTAAAAAAATTAATATATGATTGATGCACATTGCACTGATGCGCAGATCTAGTGACATCATTTTATTATTTCTCTAACTCGATGTTGATGATTACCTACATAAAAGCTATACTGTATTTTAATTTTTAAGTATTAATTAATATTTTGAGCTACAATTACTTGTATAGGTAACAAAACAGTTCTCGTGTTGTACCTCGTATAAAATAGTAACGATGATGACTTGTATCTTTCATATTCCAACATGCAGATATTGTATACGGTCTGTAAATGATAGTTCCATCGCCGTAACGATATGGTAGGCGATACGATACCTTATCTGTTTATACAAAGATATCTATCAATTTCGGTATGTACTATCATCGAAATTCGATATATTAGAGTCGAATATGGCGACAGAATAACTTGTAATTATTATTATGTAACATTGCGAAAACATACAAAATTCAAAATTGAATTTTATATTACTCATAGTCATACTTTGTATTATAAAATTATTTGCAGAATAATTTCCAACTGAATACTATATCCTATGGAACTATTTAGAGATGTTTATTTTTGTGTTGTAAAGTGTATGGCTGTGTTAATTTATGTGAATATACCTACTTGATAACTTTAATGTTAATATTGTTTAAAAAATAAATTAAATAACAGCTGTAGAATTCCACAACTCTATTTGTTTTAAATCCTAGCCATCCTGTCCTAATCTTATAAGATAGTACTGCTACTGAACAATGAAAACTGATTCTAGATTAGGTACATATCAGATAAACAGAATCGGTATTTATTAGAAGATATTTATTAGTAACAAGTGACAAGACATTGTGGTTAAATGCTAAAAATTAACGACAGATTCTTACCAATTAAAATATATCACAAAATAGCATATTTAAGTATTTTATCGGAAACAATAGCGTAGTAAACGTACGTAAATGATAATTAAAATAAGCTGGAGGGGCAAAGTACACACCAGTACATAATGTAAAACTGTTGGAACTATTATATAACATTCACACAAAGCTGTTACCTACACAGATACATGAGTAAGTAGATAAGTACTATTGTTCTCATTCACCTAAAATACAGATTAGGTATTCAGAAACAGATTTTAGTACTGAAACTAATACTACTTAAATGAGAATACAGATAACAACATGAAATAGGGAAGACAACCAAATACCAATTAATTATCTGATAAGACGCGTGACGTCAATCCGCCGCGCCGACCTTATCTGGCGTGTGTTCACCCGCCCATTTGGCCACCAATTACTATCTCATACTACATTACAACAAATACAATTATAAGGTAATTATTTTAGTGACAGAGACTCGTTACAAATTGCACAACTCATAATACTGAATTTTGTTCAAAATATAGAATATTCATTCATAAATAAGACAATAGTCATAAAGCAGTAAATATATAGGTTAATCTTAATATCATTGGATACAGAAATTGAGGAACACAATAATTACTGAAATAAATTACTTCTTTTTCCTCCTCCACTCTTTTTTATGGTCAATCTCAATATCCATCTCTCACCACCAGCTGTGCATTACATTGGCCATGATTAGTGTCTCACAATGATTATCTTCACACCACTTAGTGGTTTAGAGAGAATCTCCTGATGGGAAGCAGAGAGCCAAACATGACATGTTGAATGACTGGGAATTTGGCTAACACCTCCTTTTTGTACATTTTAATGAGACCTTGATTGATTTTGCTCCATGAACCAACTGCACTGATGCTCCACAACTGATTAGAATGCTCTGCAAAGGGACCTTTTTTCACCTCTTTGATATGTTTAATGCAAGATATAAACATATAATCATTGTGATATTTATCAATAATATCATCTTCCAAGAACTTGGCCGGGGGATAAATTCTTGGCTGATCAATGAGTTGGGAGCTGCCCCAAATGAAGGGTATAAACTGGTAATCATCCAGGCTCCACACACCATGGCTGCCAGCTGGTTCCATTCTGTATATTTTCTGCAACTTTCTTGCAATAGATAGATATTTATTAAAGACTAAGAAAACTACTGCTACATTGTCCTCTGCCACCAAATTTCCTACTTTGAACAAACAACAGAGGAACATTGCAAAAGCCATTTCATGGCCAGTTCCATAATCAATCCTAGTAGCATTACCAAAGCTCTCCTCCAAGTAAATTTTAACCTCAGGGATAGCGAGATGTATTGAGGGATCCAGAGCATCTTGCAGATACAGAGTGCTGTTCAGCTTCAGTTTGGAGAGCCAGGACCTAAATGCAGCATTACCAAACCTTTGTGGTTGTTCAATTGGAGGGAATTCATCTATCAGGTTGTCAATTAATTCTAGCATTTTAATAAGTCTTTTAACATTGTCTGAGATCTTGCAGTCTACTGTGAGTGGCTTGGACTTAATGGCTTCATTCAATGTAGCTATAAACCCAGTGTATTCCATGTATGCTTCAGATTTCTCCCATATGGCCATATCTGTGACAGTTTTCACAGCTTTTTCAGGTTCTAAGAACCTATGGTTTTGTGGTAATACTGGTGGGACACCATCATTTGTCTCTGCTACATCCCCAATAACTTTTTCCGTCGTCATCTAAAATAAACAAAAATAATAAGGAGAATAAATTATAATGGCATTGCTAACTTAAACAATGAAGTCTTGAGCTGTAACTACAAAAGAAGATACAAAAAAAAACAGTATAATTGGGTCAAATACTTCCAAAAACAAGAAGTTAGTGAATACGTTTTGCGCACGTGTAAGCTACCTAGATAATATCTAATGTATTTTGATAAAGAAATAGTGCGCAACGTAAAGCTTGCTGCCAATAACGTACCCAACGTCGTGTGTACATTGACCTACAATAATTTAGTATTACCTCTGTGAAACAAGTCCGCTGCGGACACGATAAGCTTCGCTAATGAAGGTCACAAATGTCAGTCTTAGTTTACCACATGCAAACTTACTTCTAATAATTTGTATCATTTTGTAGCAGTGAAAAGCTGATGTGAGTGTCTACATTCCGTAATCATGGAAAAAATATTGAGAGGAATAATGAGGTACCGTGTGTTGGATCGCGCAAGTATGGTAAAACAATTTCAAGAAGTAAAAAACAATCCTACGGTAAGTTTATATTCTACTGACCTTTTAATTCAGAAATGCAAATACGGGAATAAAAAACCAATGATGTGTACAGTACAACAAATACGCTGATATCAATTAGTAGATATTTGTATCTTTTCAGTTTATATATAAGCTTTGTATTAATTACGATTTATTCAACAAAAATAGCCAAATTATATTTATTTTGACGTTTAACTGACAGACTTGACAAGTTGACAGATTAGCGAAACACTTTGACAATGACGTTTCCCCAAATACCCTTTTTAATGTTACGATCAAAATAATCATTTTATTGTGACAAACCTGAGGGTTCACAAAAATATTTTTTTTTTATCGCGGTATTTTCAATCCACTTAATTCTACTAGTGATTTGATTGTTAAACACTTAATTTATTACAATATTTTATATATTTTGTTGTGCAGCCTAAAGCGGTATTTTACACATGCATGGACAGCAGAATGATTCCAACCAGATTCACTGAGACAAGCGTTGGTGATATGTTTGTAGGTAGGTGAAATATTTTTTGTACCAACAAACGTTTTGTCTTCGAAAGAGTGGGCAGTGGTGCATGATATGGTACGTTAATGCTTAGTTTATGAGTCCCCTGTAATAGGGGATTAGCCTATTGCCATATTACTGAGAAACTTTTGACAAACCGAAAAAAAAAAACAGTAACACTTGGCCCACCAGGAAATTGTACCTACCTAGGATTCTTGCAACTCGTAACCACTCGCTAATAAGGCAGTTCCCGATTTGATGCCATAAAAATTATTTAAATAAAAAATTCCTTCTCATTTCAATTAGAACCTTGTTTAATGAAAATTATTATTCATTTCAGTGCGAAACGCTGGTAATGTAGTACCTCACTCACAGTACTTTGTGGACGAAATGACCAGCTGTGAGCCAGCTGCTTTGGAGCTGGGCTGTATACTAAACGACATAAGACACATTATTGTATGTGGACATAGCGATTGTAAAGCGATGAATCTTCTTTATAAACTTAAGAGCAAAGAAGAATCAAGTATAGTAAGTATCATTAAATATTCATGAAGGAGCCGTAAATATTCCTATAATATTAATATAATAGCACCAAACATTTATAATTACAATGCAATTATTTTTTTTAGGAACAAAGAAGACTGTCTCCCTTAAAATCGTGGCTATGTTCGCATGCACACACAAGTCTCACAAAATTTATAGAAATGAATAATGATTTCACAAAGCCGATGCTTTTTACGGGTGAAACACCGCAACGGAAGTTTGTCGCCTACATAGACCCAGATAACAAATTTTGCATAGAAGACAAATTATCACAGGTATTTGAACATTTTCAATTTATTTCTATAAAATCCTACTTCCTACTACCTATCCTATTCTACTAATATTATAAATGCGAAAGTTTGTGAGGATGTATGTATGTATATGTGTGTGTGTGTTTGTTTGTTTGTTTGTTTGTTAATCTTTCACGTCAAAACGGCTGAACGGATCGGGATAAAATTTGGAACAGAAGTAGAATATGGTCTGGATTAACACATAGGCTACTTTTCATTCCACGGGAACGCGGGCGAAGCCACTGGCAGAAGCAAGTAGTGACCATAAAAATGATGTTATCTATAAAATATCACACTAGCAAACCCGGCGAACTCCGTTTCGCCACCACGCGGCGAACGCTTCGTTTTATGTAACATTTCGTTTGGTGATTAAAATTGATTTTTATTTGCTATAAACCTCACGGAGCCCGAGACCTTTCCAACGAATGCAAAACCGCGGAAATCGGTTCGTGCGTTCAGGACTTATAGCGTCAGGAAGGAAAACCCGACTTATTTTTATACATCCTAACGTGAAACTAGTGTTATACGAATAGTATTTAGGATCATAATCAAGTACCTAGCAATTTTTTCCATTTTCCAGGTGAATACACTACAACAGTTACAAAACGTGGCCTCATATGGAATGTTGAAGAAACGGTTGGAGAAACACGACCTACACATTCACGCATTGTGGTTTGATATCTACACTGGTGATATTTACTACTTCAGCAGAAGGGCAAAGCGATTTGTGATTATTGATGAATCTTCTTACGAGTCAATACTGGCTGAAGTCCGAAGATTCTACTCCTAACAATTTAAGTATAATACTCATTCTGTCTCGAACGCATTTGCATTACATTTTAGTCGCAGATAGAAGGCGATAATATCGAACGATTGCAACGAAAAGTTATTGGCGGGATTGAGATATGTGTAATTGCGATTTGATTGCTTGTACTTACTAAGAAAATTATGTTTATGCTTGTTTAGTGAAGGCTGATGAACCGAAATCACAAGAAATACGGCAGTACGAGTCAGTATGCTTTAACCAAATAAGACAATTTTATAATTATGTAATATTTTGTTTGAGTTGAGTGTTTTATTTGATAATGTTCATTACTTAGATATCTATTTTTTTATAGAAACTTTTCTATCACAGTAAGAGATAGGTACAAACAGGTTTGGAAACTTATATAATTGCATGGAATGGAGTAGGTATTTAGAGTAGGGATTCTTTCTGTATACATAATATTATAAGAACTATGAAGTACCTTTAAAATGTCTTAAATAGGATGCGCTATTGTAGTAGTGGTAGTGGGCAAATTAAACAAATTTACATTTCGTTCAGTAAATAGTACAGTACTCTTGTTACAGTAGCGACATCTATCTAATACATTTCGATGAAGATTTTTCAGTCGGATAACCTATAAAAGTACTTACTCCTTATTAACTTCATATTCCATCATCCATGCAAATAAGAATCTTTATGCAACACGATTGCTTAGCAATATACGAGGTAACTAGCAATACAAAAACCATGCATACTTTCTAAATATTTCACAGAATGTACATAATTGCACTTCAGTGTCAACATTTATCGAAAATAACGATCATTTTTAATTTTATACATTTTTTTTACTTTACCATGAAACAACTTGGAATGTTACGACTGAGGTGCAGTTTACGGTTTACACCTTCTATTTTATTAATTATTATTTAAGACAAGGTTTAAATAAGTAGTTCGTTTATTAATTTTATTTAATACTTTAATTAATGTTTTTATAACTATCTTGCCTTTGATTTGGGACCAAAAATAAAGAATATTTTTTTATGTTTATGTCTTTCTTTTCAATTCTCAATCATAATATTATACCTTAATTATATTGATAACTAGCTGACCCGGCAAACTTCGTACCGCCTAAAAGATTTTTCTCACCTTTTAAACCTTCCCTAGACTTCCACGAACCTATCAAGACCAAAATTAGCTAAATCAGTTCAGCTTCAGCCGTTCTCGAGTTTTAGCGAGATTAACGAACAGAAATTGATTTTTATTTATATAGATTACTATTTTCTATCACCATATTTTATACTATATAGATAATGGAAATAAATGCAAAGATGTCACACGACATTAAACATTTACTGGATGTACTTAGCTAGCGAACTAAATGCACATGACCATGTTGCAGCAAATTCTTAAATGGGTACGTACGTACACCACGTGCAACGTAAATGTTCACATGATTTTCCATCACCTTGCTAAGAGGCCACATAATGTACATTTTACACCAGCACGTGGTTTTATATTATAAATAAAATTGTGACACCGTACTATATTTTTAGATAGGTCACGTGCCCATTTTCCCTTTCATTCATATGACTAAATTAATTATGAGGTTAGTTATACAATTAGGTATAATGTATAATTTTTGGCTGCTTCTTCAACACTCTGATGTGCAGAAAGGAAAACAGTCAAGTTTACAACGTGTAAAAGTAATTTCCGAACTTCTACATTTTATTATTAGGTAAGTAGTTTCTAAACTGGCACCTCTATTGTTCTAATGTCAATGTCAAGGGACGTCATGATGCAGTTTTCAGTAGATCGACAGCAGTGACCTTCACAGTGGATTTGTCGGTTACCTGCTCGAGAAGTTGGAAATTTTTCAGGCAGTCTACGTCACTGACATTGATATTTTATCCTTGTCCATTCATGAAAACCAGCAGAGATAGAAACAATTTAAACGACCAAAAGAGCGAAAAAACGAAACGTTTCTCAATAGTTGTATCAGTAGCTGTCACACAGTGTGTAAGTGTCCATGTGTTTTAGTGATGCAATATTGTATTAAAAAAATGTTTGTTATATAATTTGTGAGTGAATAATAATAAAATTAATACATTACCTCCATTACAGTTGCAACGCGTAATCTTATCTGTTTTTAACATTTTGAATTACTCAAATGCTGTATTTGGTCGCTCATATAATTACTCTAACATTCACCCTGTAACAACCCTCTGGCTAGCTATAAATGTCTTGTTAGCTACAAATTAATTGTTATTTATTACAGATGCACAATGTCTAATCCACGGCAAATATTTGACTACAGAGACGAATCTCAAGCAGATAGGCTTGCAAGGAAGTCTAAAGACTCCCCATTTATGATCATAGGTAAGAACTTTAGATGTGTTACTTACAAAAATGTAAACCTCACTCAGTTAACATAAAATTAGTAATAATAAACAAATGTCAACACTACATAATAATTGACAAACATTCCTTTTGACTTTCAGGTATCATTGGGTTGCTGGGCGTGTGTGGTTTTGGAGCATACAAGTACAAGACTAGGGGCAAGATGAGCACCAGTGTGTTCCTAATGCAGCTCCGAGTGGCAGCACAGGGCACTGTTGTATCAGCTCTAACAATAGGACTGGCATACACACTAGTAAAAGAACATATACTAAAGGATGATAAGAAAAAAGAATAATTTCAATTTAGCTCAATTTTAAAGGGGAAACTTCAACACCATATTTAACATATAGAAGTTGCAGCATGTTCTTTTTAAATCAGAGTCTCATTTACTATCAGTTTTGATTGTCTCAATTAGGTATTATATTAACTTTATTTGCATCAGTTTCCCTAATTAGTATAGTTTAGGAACTAATTATTTTCTGTGATCATTTAGCAGGTATTAATTGAATGTAATAATGTTATTTATTGGTTAAGTTATTACATAGGATAACATCATTCAAATTTGTAATTTCTTGGATCTCTGACAAAAAAATTGCTGTCAGTGATCCAAAAATGTTCAGAACTGCAACTAACTGAGGATAGCAACATGTACTTATAATAAGTTAATTTATTGTAACAATAATTGTGTACAAACAGTTTAAGATATTCTCCAATAACATACCAAAGGTATTCAATTGAATCTCTACTTGGAATTCTATTAATCTAATTGCAAAAAGATCTGTAAAATATTTTTGAAAAATGTTATTGTGTAAACAATAGAAAATGTTGTGGTATATTATTACGTACCATGCTTCGAATGAAAAATAAAAATATTTTAAAATTGACTTATTTGATTTATTAAAATAATATACATAATCCAAATAGCATCATTACATTATACATAAATATGTTTTCATTTTATTTTTCGATAAATAAATATAATACAAATAAAAAATTTTAATCACTTTTACTACAGTCTGAACTCTTTTTCAATCTCAGACTGAAGTTAGGAATGGTCAAATCATCCTTATCGGATGTGGAATGGTTTTTCATGGAATTTGACGTCATTTTGACTGAGGATAAATCATCAACGTTACTGAATAAACCATTGGATACATTAGAGCTGGAGCTCGAGTGGTAAGTCATTGACTTGAACAACTGCACCGGGGTAGATGTCCGCGCTCTATTCACTCCGCTGGGTGCGCTCTCCATAGAGCGCTCGTCGCGATTTACTTGAGAATTTTCTTTCATCTCTTCAGGCATTTTAGTCTCAAACAACGAAACAAATTCTTGTGAAGTATTCACATTTGATTTGTTTGTAAATGTTATTTTCTTCGCCAATTCGTTCCTCAAAAATTCTTTTACAGTCATTGAATTTGATAATGTAGTTTGTTGTTCTGCATTTTTGGAGTAATCAACTGCACTCATATTCTGTACTCCCTTGGACATATTTACTACAGATGAAACCGAATCTGTCACAAGAACTGGAATTTCTTGATTAAAACTTTTCATTTTAAATTGAGATAAACTAGAGCTTGAAGTATTAGATGAGGACGATAAAGCTAATCGTTCCTTTGTCTTCTTCAAAGTGGATGATGCCCAGCCCATACCAAGTTTCTTAAAAGCATTTTCTAGATCAGGATTTGAAGAAATACTTAGTGTATCGGATGTTTCACCGATATTTTCTTTATTTTGGGAAATAGCACTAGGCTTCTTTTTGCTGCCTCTGCGTGCTTTAGATAAAGCTAACATGGATAAAGTAGATTCTGAAGAAATAGTAGTCGAATTAACATTTGAAGCTGTGTCGAACTTGAATGGTTCAGCAATGATATTTCGTTTCAGTAACTCTGCAATTACATCAGGTAAGCTACCATCGGAATGTAACGAACTTATGTCGTCATTAATAGGATCTTCTCTTTGTATTTCCTCTAAATTAGATCCCTCATCTGGTGGTTCCATGTTATATTGCTTTGCATATTCTTGAATACTTATAAAGGGTTCCAACATTATCTCATTAAATTGTTTGAGATCAATCATTTGAAATTTTGATTCATCGGAAGATTCTGTAGATGATAATTTAATTTTATACTTGTTAGATAACTGAGAATTTGTTTGAAGCAGGTCAGGATTCATGATGGATCCTTTTTTAGATCTATTTTTCTTGTGGTCGTCTACAGCAACATTGTCCCCTGCAGATGACCTGTTTGAATTATTGTTAGACGCTTCTTTATCATTATTTCGAGCTGAATGATTTTTGTGTTTTACACTCATAGGGGAGTCTACTTCTATAACAGTTGAAAGTTCATGTGGGATGACGTAGTCATGTCCATGTTTAAAACTGAGGCGAGATAAAGCTGGGGGAGGCTTCGGTCTGTTCTTAACCAACAGTTCTGACGTGTTAGTAGACAACTGTAACGCCGGATCCAATGGTTCGATATATTGTGTAACGTGTTTCGATTCTTGCGGTTTAGGTATGTCTGACAAGACTTCTATATATTCTGGTGGTGGTACTTTGTTTCCTGTGACATTTTCTTTTCCCTCTACAGGGTCAGGTAATTGGACGTCTATTTCTTTTGCAATATCATTGGAATCAAAAACAATAGGGATGGGGCTGACTGGCGACTTCTCTGATTTATGGTCAGCTTGCGAGTCAGTCGATTCAGCAGATGAGATTTGGTTGTACACCAAAGACTTGTTCTTTCGCACCTCCTGTAGAACTCTAGCAAGATCCGATAATCTTTTTGTACATTTCTCAGTCAAGTCGGCTATTTTCTCCATATTGTGCAATTTGTCTTCTGCCAATTTCATTAAGTTACTATCAGTGTTTAATTCCATGTTAGTGGTCTGAGTAGACATACTCACAGGAATGTGTGTGGAGTTTGGATAACGTTGAAAGTCTACGGTTGATTCGGAAATGGATTCTACAGTTGAATCAGTTAAAGTTGCTCTATTAGAAGGCAACTTTTTGCCACGCGGTCGCACCCATTTGCTATTCACGGATTTTTTTTTACAATTATCATCTGACTTCTCTGTTCCAGTTGAATTTTTAGCGGTCGATTCAGAATCATTACATCTAGATATTGGCTCTGGATTATTCACTTGTCGAGGTGTTGGAGAGCTTTTACTACGCACTTTTTTTGGCGAATGAAAACCCACTCGGCTTTTTAAGTTGCCATCAGTGGATGACTGCAAAACCGGTTTGCTAGACTTTTCTTCCATTGATTTACGCTTTGCCAAGTTTCTTGAAATATTCAAAGATTTAACTTTATGTACAGGCTTCTTGCGGAGTGGCCGGGTCAAGCTTTTCATATTGTTTTTGTTATTGGCAACAGAATACACCAACGAATTTTGCATATATTTCAAATTTTTGGTTAATTCCTCCTGCTCAATTTGCTTTTTTAGTAACGATTTTATTTGTTCCAATGAAATTGTTTTCAGTAATGAAGCTTTCTTTTTATCAATATTATAAGGTACATTAATTATGGAACTCCCAGGAGTACCAACTGAGCTGCATTCTTGATCCGCGACTTCAACAGCTTTCAATCCATCTCTATTGAGAGCTAGTAATTTATTCACGTAGTCTCTAATTATTGGATTCAAGTTCGATTTATCAGATTTTTTGTCCTTACTGCCACCTGTAGGTTTATGTCTATTTTTTGAAGCCGGGTTGACGCCGGCGCGTGCGGTCGTGATCGAGTGAACACTTTCAACAGAGGTTTTCCTTTTATTTCTGTTACAGTGTTTCTTAACAGGTTCCACATGTCTTCGAGTTTTATGTAAACATTTTGTCCTGTCGGTTGTTGAACTTTTACAAGGTATATTCCTCTGTTTCATAATTTCAACATCTTCGCGCCTTATTTCAGAAACCGTAATTGTTGAATTAGGGGGTGTGGTCATATTTTTGTTCACATATTTCGTCTTAATATTATGGGTGGGCTGGCCAGGAATTTTGCGTAGTATTACGTTTCTGGCTTGCATGCATTTCTTGCATGAACAGTCAGTATATTCTTCGCAGTATTCTTTCGCAGTCAGTTCAATGGTATGTAGTGGTTCATCGTCTGTCATTATGCAGTCTGGTTTAAGAAACTTCGGTAGGATAAATTCTGGGGGACTCATATAGGCAGTGGATGTCGAGGAGCTCATGTGATAGAACACAGGTCTATATAGGGGCGAACTTAAGCTTGTTTGAGTGTATGTGCTTGTCGCCGGCCTGGACATTCCATCTTGTTTTGTGTCATCAGTTGTTGTGTGTTGTGTATGAACACCTTTGTCACACATGTTTTTGTTTGTACCAGAATGTATAAGAAATATTTCTTCATCTGCCTCGGTATTTGTTTCATGGTGGAGTGATTCAATCTTATCATTTGGCTCATGAGACTTTTCAGATGAGGCAGTTTTGCTTGAAACAGACGGTTGAAGGAGTACTGTGGTGGAATGTTGATCAGTTACACTTCTAGAATCCAAGTCATCGTGCATGACTTCACTAGAAGCCGGCTGCGGATCTTTTGCGGTCATGTTTGATGTAGTAGAAATATTCTTTACTTCAGTTCTACTAATAGTTTCGCTTGCAGGCTGTTTGTTTACAAAAAAATTGTCTTTATCTAATTTCTTCTCTTCAATGGTTCCATCTTTCTTTCGTAGTTGTATGACTACTTCGTAAGCATTGTTATTAAGAAACCCTGAAGGTCCTATAAAGAACTTGCCGGCGTCCTGTCCAGCTTCGTCTATTAGTTTAATGTACCCACCTTCAGATGTACCGGTTTTGTCGTTCATGGCAGTATTGTACGAACATGTTGATATTGTGGAAGGCTTGTGCGGCTGTTTCTTTGAAGGACTAGGAGATGGATCTTGATTCTCGTTACTCGTCCTGAAAGTTATAAAATATTTTATCTCTGACTAAATATTTCAATAATAGGAAAGCCTTTTTTGTTAATTAGGAAAAATATAAAAGCTTACGGTTTCGGTTGCTGAGAATCGCCGCTCTCACCAGGCAGTCCGGTGTCTGGAAATAATATTTATTATTGTTACATACTATAAGATGTGACCATTGATTTAATACTTAATGAATAACAAACAATACACACCTTTATCAGTTTGTGGTATGTTATTAGTGCTCCGACAGCCGCATGGTTCAATATTTACGTTCTCCGTGTTTGATTGGGTTTCAGGAGCCTTGTCGCATTCTTGTCGATCGTGGAAGTACATTGCGGCTACATTATCCCTGTCGAAATTAATTACTCATTTTAAATAGATTGTCTTGCATAAACATGCTACAACTATGTATATTTTTCAACTATCTCAAAATTACAAAACACTGAGCTGAATATAACAAACTACTTTTATATACTAACATAATAAATGGGTATTTTATGTCACTAAGCTACGAAGACGATCTAAATGATAATTTTAGAAATAAACATAATCTAGAATAACACATAGGCTACTTTTTATTCCGGCAACGCGGGCGAAGCCGCCGGCAGAAGCTAGTATTCTATGAATTTACCACCAAGGTTTTTGTGGCGTGTTCGTGTGCCACATTTCTACGTTAGTAGTGAAACAACTCATCATGTTGTAGGACGCCCTGTCGAACGATAGGAGAAGGTAATAATACGACACCAAGAAAGGATCAATAACATAAAAAAATAAATAAATCTCACCCTTTCTCCTCTACCATTTTGTAGACACCTGAAAATAATTAAATTTATTATAATAAACTGTGTAAATCATAATAAATGATTATAATACTGAATACGGATATGAAATTATTTCAGATTATCCGTTAGTTTCGAATAATTTCGGTTACTTATATTAAAATTTTAAAGAATTACAAAAGTAAAATACAAATAGTTAATATAATGGTTTCATTTATTTATACGTCACACCCCTATCCGATAATATCCGAAATTTTTATTTCGGATTCTGTTACGGATATTTTTTTATATCGGATATTCGATACTTTCGGTTACGATTACTCCCTAACATCCCTGATATACTGCTAAGCGCAAACCTCATGACATAACCAAACTATTTTGACTAACTATTGCAAATTATATTTTCAATGTTCTTTTAATTCTTAGAAAATATTTATTAAGAAATCTACAATAATACAATGTCTGAATTACTAATAAATAAATAAGCAAGTAAAATTACAAAATTAAATACCTTCATTAAGTTGCTCAAATGAAATGCCACTTTCAATACTCTTGCTTGATCCCTCAGCAACCAGCTTCTTATATTGCTGACTCTCATCCTCACAAACAGTCTTCTGCGTCTTCCCAATACACGACAGTGATTTAGCAATTTCATTTAAGAGCTTTGTCTGCCTTTTTGTCTTCCTTTCAGATTTTGAATCGAGTACTTTGTATACAATAATTCTCTCAGCATCCGATAAGTTCTTGTTAATCTCTTTCGCGTTTTTACGTTTCTTTTTGGGACCAATTCTCAAATTTTCTACAGAACTTGTGTCTGAGGTTAAGGACGAGCTGTCGGAGTATTCTGAATCATCCCTATCTATTATTACAGATGTCTTCGGTGCGTTGTTCTGGTTGGTGTCTTTAGTTGGGGGTGTATGCTTGTGTCTAGATCTATACTCGTGGTAGCTGTCCATTGTGCTGAACTTCACACTGTTTCCGTGTTTGAGCGGTTTCACTGTGTTAGGTATTGCATGGATGGCGAGGTTGCCATCACTCTCGGGGACAGGCATCCAAGAGTATTGAAAGTCTCTATTAACATAATTTACGTCCAAGTCCCTTCCCATAGGAGATTTTGATAAATTTCTGTTTTTCTGAAATTATAAACGAATCATGTATCATATTATTATAAAAATATAATAAGAGATTTAACCAAGGTAAGTCCCAGGTGTTTTGCTTTTAATTCGTGATATTTACCTGACAATGATGTTTCTTACATTCTTTCTGTATTTTTTTGTATTCCTGTTGCATCTTTTGCTGGCGATTTTCATACTGAATTTGTTGCCTATGTTCATCCATGTATGCATTTTTCTTAAACAACAAAGAATATTAGATTAATACAAGTCTCTAATAAGGTAGACACGATTAGATACAAGAACAAAATTACTTACAATAGGTTTACTCTGCTTATCTTTTGGTAAGGAGTTTAAAAAATTCATAGTGTCTTTATATTCCTTTTCAACATTTTGTTTAGTTACTGCAACCTTATTCCTGATATCTTGTTGCTTTTTATTTTGCTCTTTACTTTTAGAACCGCTGGCTGAGACCTCCTTCATAGCTTGTGAGTATGCATCTTCCGCGGCCTGCAAGTCTCTCACCACAAATTTATCGTCACAATAAGGCAAGTCCCGCGTGTCTCTGGTGGAGTGATTATACATCATGACAGAGTTCTTCCTCTGCAGACCACTAGCTTCTTGCGATGTCTTCACTTTGTCGCTAGGACAGGCCCCTTTGTTGGAACCTGGAATCGTGTAATATTGGATATTAGTTGTTTTATATTATTTTCTATTAGATTTTAAAAATATGAAGTACATTAAGCATGATATAATGGACAATACCACTTGACTATACCAACACAAACATGTATGAATTATAATATGTTAAATAATGAATTACTTATGTAACAAGGGTGTAGATGTTATGAACATGGGCCCAATACCAATGAATCACGAAGCGACTATTGGTTATTATATTTTTTAATTGCTTACAAATTCCGGGACCAGTTTTACTCCTCCTAAACGGGCTTGTACCTCTCAACACAGGACTTGGCATTATATCAGCCTGCTGCATCGGATTTGTGGAAGTAAGAATCTGGTTAATTCGGGAATTAGTAACAGATTTAAACTGCCTGTTTTGTTTTGGTATTACACTGTTTTGTGCTGGTGTAGGGTAACGAACTTTGTGAGAACAGAGTTGGCAACGCCTTTCTGCTCGCCAAGCAGGCACTGGCACAATTTGTTCATCAAGTACTTGACATGCATTAAAAGGTCTACCTTCGGGTTTAGTAGTTCTGGTGCGTAGGATTGTCTGCCTCAAGCTTTGCATATCATCCGAAGACTTCTTGTTAATGTTACTTGGTTCTGTTTCACGCAAGCGCATTTTCCTGTTCTGCAAGTATTCCGAAACAATTGTCAACGAAGGTCTACCGGGCTCCCTTTCTCTTGTATCAAGTAAATTACTGCCTCGTAAACTTGATGGCATCTCTTCACTTACGGCAAACAAATCTATTCTTTTGTTTTTCTCAGTTTTGTTCCCATTGTCGTCGAAATCATTGGGAGAATCTTTGTCTATGGGGATTGATAGCTCTGGCACAGTAGGCTCCCATTCGTGCGGTATGTTTTCCATGTCCCACTGTGTGGCCATGTCACTTGTTTTCACAGGTTCAGTCTCATTTTCGATCTTTCCTGCAACTTTATTGTCCTGCTTAGAGCTTACAAGCTCTGAGGAATCTCCAGCCTTCGAAGCCAAGTCATTACAATCCTTAACTTTTGAAAATTTTGACAGCAGCTTATTAGCTACCAAAGATGACTTATCGCGGCTTATTTCATTAGCAATCTCCCTGTAATAAAAACGAATAGTTATAATATTTAGGCATTGAAATAATATGAATGATGGTAGCTCTACTCTACACACGAGTTAAGTCGATCTTCGGACGTCGCGGAGAACCTAACGGGTTACCCAGGCGGGAGAAATAATTCGATGATTTTCCCCCTTAAAAAAAGTCGATCTTCGGACACTTTCAGATTGGAATATATATGTAATTAGCATTAGTAACTTTCGGTATAAAAGTTTTGTGTACCATTCAAACTATTTTTTGCATCAAAAGCGTGATATCAGTCAAAAACGCATTATTACATATTAGCGCATTATTATATAAATATTAACGTATTTATTCATAATTACATTCGCTGTAAGTACATACTGATTAACAAGTATTGTGAGTTCTGATTGTGACTGCTGGTATTGGTAATGGAGATATTCTATTAAAACTCGCTAATATTCGTGTTAATGTAATGCTGTAAAAGGCTACAACACACAGTTGTTATCAATCATCCATTAGCATTCTGGCAATGTAACTAACTCCTTTTAAAACTACATACATACTGTAATCAAAAAGTTATTAAAACAGAGAAACACTCTCTACGATTGACTGAGTGAGCGAGCGAAACCAACATACACCTCCCCCTCCCCGCCCCTGCCGCGCTGTTCCCTGCGTACATGCCCTTCAAAGATCAATATCTAGAATCTAGATTCATCTGTTGATTGGCGCCGGACGCCTTGTAGTTTACTAACATTCGATTTACTTACGTAATTGCGAAAAATGAAATTGCCTTCTAATTTCAAAATCGTATCAATGTATCAAGTAATAAAGAATGCAGAAGAATTTGAAGTAAAGGTGGCCAAAATACGGAATGCTGACGATTTAGAAATGGTAGCTGACGAGCTTCGTATGCCAGTTGTTAAGTTGCAGTATTTGTTAATGATTAAAGAAATGATCGATGAACAACATCGGTCGGATGGTGTGAGGAAAACGATCAAGAAAAATAAAAATAACCTTAAGTTAATACCCATAGAGGAAGGTGTAATGGAAAAGCTACGTGGATTAAAGCTTAACTCAACTTAAAGGCGACCTCAAGGGGCCTCGTTTTGTAGAAGCAGAAAATAATATCTATATATTACAGATCATTATAGATTTTACTCTTTTCTTATTATTGGTAGATAACTTCGAATCGTTGCGGCATTGTATGCTTTCAAAACATGGGGAGATCGAGACAGACAGGACAGCAACTCCTTCCATATTGTTGTGACCTTGTTTATACATTTTCAAAATACAAATCAATTTAAATTAATGCTGGACAAATAATAAATGTTCAAGAGAAAAACTTGACATGGCGACATATGATGGTAAAGCGAAAATATCATGTTTATACAAGATTGAAACAAGATCAATATAATGACATGAAGACATTGGATGATTTTCCACCCTAAAAAAACAGTATAAATAAGAACATTATAAAACAAGGTTACAGAAAAACTGATACAGAATAAATGGAAGATCCTGGTACTAAAAATCCTTTGATTTCACAACCAACAACCATAATAGAAAGAAGGTGTCTGAAGAAATTGCAGTATGATAATTTTCAAAAACAGAAACCCAGGTTTTTCGCCTATGCCTCTTTTTATGATGCTATCAAAAATTGTTCACATGAAGATCCTACTGCACAAGAGGAATACATTAAGAGGCTTTAAGTGATGATAAGGAAGAATCAGCTACAATTTCTATAACCATGTTCCCAACAACATTAGATAACTATTTATTAAGGTACTATCTATTATCATTTGGTGAAAGTGCAACAGAAAAGTTTTATTTATATCGTTTTGTAGCCATTTCTGCAATAAAATCCACTCTGTATAATCTTTATAAACATAATAAATTATGCATATTGTAATATGCTCCTCATTGTTTTATTTTTAAAATGTTATTATGTGCCTGCTATATGAAAATAGGCTCACCCTCATGGGACTCATAATATAAATAGTGAAAAGTGGGTGTTACATTGTAAAGTGGCATTAAGTGCCACAATATGCATCTCTGCCTACCCCTTCAGGGATAAAAGGCGTGATGTTATGTTATGTTTTATTTTTCTTCACATATATGACAGATTGCCACATGAAATACTGTCCTAAAGAAGTAATATTATTGTATGGGATCTAAGGAAATGATTAGAAGCAGAATTTACTAAGAAAATATAAGAAGAGCTTTATATGGTAATAGCCACACTCCCTAATACATGGGATTCACAGCATAACTGGGGAAATGTAGGATCTACTGTGAAAAATGTGCACCAGTTGCCCTGGCAGTAAACAAATGTTGTATGCGATAATTTATTGAAGTTAATATTTTGTTTATAACAATAAATCTTTATGGTAGAATATTAATTAGCATCCTTATTGAATAATGATGAATTGGTATAAACTTCATAATGGTAAAATGGGGTGAATAAGGATTGAGATGTGAATAGGGACAGAAGAGAGGTGAATTGGTACTAGAAGAATTTTCCAATACCTATTCACCCCTATTCTGTCCCTATTCACCTCTCGATCCCTATCGACCCCATTTTATGGTACTGCAAATACCTTAACAATGGCTTTGAAGTTAGGTGCAAGTGCTTTTATTTTATGTGAAGATATTTATGATGTTTTGCAGATTTAGAACAGTTTGATGTTAATTTTATTGCCTTGAAGAATGTGTCAGGTAAAACTATGAAAATAAACAGTACCACTTTTAAAACTCGAATAATTTTCGTAGCAACTTGCTATAGCAAATTTTTTTTACATGAATTGGTCTTTAGTTTAACTTACCTTGCTTGTAATTTTCTATCAAGTAGTTTCTTCTGTTGATCTAGTTTTTCTTGTTTATTCCGTCTTAATATTGCTGCAGCTTCCTTACCACGCAACTTGGACACATCAGTCTTATTTACTTCATCTAATAACAAAGAAGTTACATTGATGATAAAAACGATTATTAAAAACTATAAAGACATTTTATGTATTATTTAATTGTATTTAGATACCTTACACTAAAGGTGTGTTTGACAATGTTTGTTTACAGTTAGTTCACAAATAAAATGTGTTAAAATATGTATCAGTTAGGAAAATTTGTTCAGACATTATAAAATTGACCCTAAGGAATTAAATGTAATCCGTAACACATGTTTTTATAACAGGACCTGGGTATCCATAATAGCATGTACATTCTGTAGCTAGAAAATAATAAAGAAACAACCTTTTAACACTTACAATAGTATCGTAAGTGTTAAAAGGTTGTTACTTTTTAATAAAAGAAAATTCCTACCTTGCTTTGTTAATTCGGTCAGTTCAGATGCACTTTGATGGCCCACACCTACATTTTCTATCCCTCTAGTATACAACACCTGCAATTGCTTCACAAGTTTGTCTTGACATTCAAAATACTCCTTCTGTTTCTTCGCGTCTAGATCACTAACTTGCCGGTTCTTTTCAACCTTGGCGCGCTGTCTTATTTTCTTAGCAATGTCTTTCGACTGCTCTCGGACCTAAAACATCACTCGCATTTTCACTGTTACGGTACTTGACTAATTTTTATTTTTATCTCTATTATATATATTTCAAAAAAAACAACTTCTCAAAATTCAAACCTGTTGAAGTCTCAGCTTTCGTCGTCGTAGAAATTCATTTGTTTTTATAGCCTCAATTTCAGAAGTCATTTTGACATTTCGGTAATAAGTTTTTATTTACACTTACGAAATCCTAATTAAACAGTTTGTATAACCAAAACCATTACCAAAATAGAAATAGTAATTATACAAAGTTTATCTCAACTTTCAAAATCAAACAACAATGTGACATTAACGTATTTCATGACACTAAATGACAGATCAAAGACTACTTGTGACAGATATAGACCTGACCGAGTAAATGTAAACGGTGAGAACGTAGATTATAAAGGTATACAGAAGTGATTTCATTCATTCATTAAATAAAGTAGGAACTGACCTTACAAATTATGGACGTTGAAACGACGACCATACCGTACTTTTACAGAGTTATTTTTTTGGTTTACTCTTACCACTTCCCTTAGACTTATTATATTCTTTGCTTACCAAAGACCCCATTAAATTATTAAAATCGTTAACATCTGCGTTTAAATAATATTACTTTTAATTAATTTTGAGCCTTTTGAAAACTACAATTAGTTACACAATTTATTACACAGTATTCATTTATTTATTAAAGATTTACGTTTACAATACTTCACCGGTCACCCGTTTGGGGATAAAAAGTTATTTATTTATTTACTATATTTCCTTACAAGCAATTGTACGAAAAATAGAGATATAAACAAATAGAAAGCTAGAATGCTTTAGATAAATAACATAGATTTTGACGTAATTATAATGAACTCAAGTTATGTACTTACAGATTTGAAGTAAAATCTAAATGGCCCTACCATACATACCCTGACCAGTCTACATCTAGTGAGCCATGAATGTGTGATCACTAGATTCAATTATTTGGAACCCACTCAAAAAAGGAGGTTCTCAGTGTGACCTGGTACCTATGTGTAACTATGAAGGTAGGTATGTAATAGGTACAATCTACTTATTGTATACATAGATAATATCTATGTATGTTTGTCTCGCGATTGATTGAATCGACTTTGATGCGGTTTTCAGAAAATTATGTTTTGTGTGTAACTATGTGTAAATGATAAATAAATAAGGTTACTTTACATATAAAATTAATAAAATAAAATAAATAATATCTACCTACCTATTCGTATGGATAAATATGAAATATCCGCCTAGTAACATAATTGATAAAATTATAAATAAACATTATAAAACTACGCAAAGAACACAGACTTAAAATACATGCAGACCCAACATTGTGAAGCCAAAAACACACATGCGCCATTCATAGGTTAAACAGTACCGGACTAAGAATGGAAATCTGAAATAAAAGTCATTATTGGGTACCTCTATAGAGATAACCGTGTTTTTGAGATAAATAGTCAATATTTATAAATACTGAATAAATATCCATTTTTATTATAATTTTTATGTAGGTATGTGGATATACGTATGTAGAGATATCCTTTAAAACGAGATTGATACAGTTGTAGGTAACATAGCAATATGGCGGTACGCGAAAACTGGCTACATGTCAATATTTGTCTATATGTGGAGCAATGTACCTCTATATAACTAGGAATTAATGTTTGGTCTACCTATTGTAAGTCTATGGCAAAGAAACACAAACCATTGACACATACGCATTTCCAGACTCCAGACACAATGTAGGTAGGTACTTATTAAAATAAATATTTTATTGATAATTTCATTCAAAATGCCAAAACATAAGTACCTACCTATTTATATGTATTTTATTAAATAATCCACTTTATTTATTGTCCCCTAGTTTTATTTATCTAAGGACCTGCTGTAAGTATATATAACAAATGAATCAAGTCAAGACATATTTTACACTGGCTTATTTTTGTTATTCCAGAATGTGTTCGAAATTTTATTTTATTTATTAACACTTTAATGCACTCAAAATAAGGTACATAAGGCGGACTTAATGCCATATGGCATTTCCTCCCAATCAACCTTTGGGTTAAATATAGAGTCAGAGAAATTGAAACAAAATAAATAACTAATATTAATAATAAATACTGTATCAAAAATATATAATTAATACAAAATATGTACATAAATAACTTCATATATATATCATATATATAGTTATATATATGAGTGAGAAGAGGCTTTGCTCAGCAGTGGGCATTTATAGGCTGTTGTTGATGATGATGATAGAATTATAATATAAATATGAATTGACTAAAACACAAACTCAGCGTTATAGCGCCTCTAAATAGGCCTCACGAACACTACGTTTAAAAGTCATTTTGTTTGGAGCCATTTTTATACTATGGGGTAGTGCATTCCATAATTAAATTACACCAACTCTGAAGGAGTCTTATCTCGATCTCCCAGCCGTTGTTTTGACGTGAAGGAGTAACAAACATACACAGTTCCGCATTCCATATCTATAATAATAGTTGGATTGAATTATATATTACTAAAAAGCAAGTATTTTTTAAGTTGTATTTCCAGGTTCATGGCACTATACTTCTGGGTGAAACCGGAGAGACCTCCACTTTATGTATTACTACGAACCCCTCCAATTCCCCCATCTAACCTAGCACTAAGACCACCTTCTAAACTGCCGCCAAATCCTTCATTTGTAGCACCAGCCGCACCGCCTTTTAAGCTATAAGGTACTCCTCCACCTACTCCACCATGATATCCACCAGACCACCACCATACTGATCACCAACTACCCCACCTATTCTACCACCAACACCTCCGCCTATTCCACCGCCAACACCTCCACCTATTCCACCACCAACACCTCCACCTATTACACCGCCAACAGCTCCACCTATTCCACCGCCAACACCTCCACCTATTACACCAGCAACACCTCCACCTATTACACCACCAACACCTCCACCTATTCCACCCCCAACACCTCCACCTATTCCACCACCAACACCTCCACCTATTCCAGCGCCAACACCTCCACCTATTCCACCAGCAACACCTCCACCTATTCCACCACCAACACCTCCACCTATTCCACCCCCAAAACCTCTACCTATTCCACCACCAACACCTCCACCTATTCCACCCCCAACACCTCCACCTATTCCACCACTAACACCTCCACCTATTCCATCACCAACACCTCCACCTATTCCATCATCATATCCATCTCCAACTCCCCCACCATATCCACCACCTAATCCACCACTATATCCACCTCCACCACCCATACCATATCCGCCACCAGCTCCTTCACATACTCCACCGCCAACACCACCACCTATTCCACCGCCAACACCTCCACCTATTCCATCACCATATCCAACACCAACTCTCCCACCATATCCACCCATACCATATCCGTCACCACCACCTCCACCTATTCCACCATCAACGCGCCCACCTATTCCACCACCAACACCTCCACTAATTACACCACCACCACCCATACCATATCCACCACCACCTCCACCCATACCATATCCAACACCACCTCCACCTACTCCACCACCACCCAATTCACCCATTTTATTATCCAAGCTATTATCATTTCTTTCCGTCGTGATACCATTATCACCTCCGTGCGGTTCCTGTCGACAAGGAGCACATTGCTGTGTAGCTATGTATATCAAACCGTTAACCAGCTTCATAATAATTTCGTTGCTGAGGCCACTATTTGAAGGAACGTTGTCGTCCTGCGATTTATGAAGTCTGAGCAACATGTCCAGGTCTTCGAGTGCCACACTGCAAGAGTCGTACCGGCATTCTACTGGATATTTCAACTTATGTGTTGCTCTCGCGGGGTACACCCATTGTGCCTGTAAAATAAATAATAATTAAGTTCGTACATGTTCGTACTGAGCTGAGGTTACCAGGGTTCCGGTTTGAAGCAGGAATAAGAGCGGGGTGGTTTTGTCAGTAAGGGTCTCTCTGACACTCTTGCTTCACCACAGGCGGTAGCAACCATTGCCACTTGTCAATGTTGCCACTCTTTTGGGGACCTACCTCATGACAATGATGCACGAGGAATTTAAACCGTTGAAGTCCTTAACAATTACTTCATCATCATTAGACCTTAATGACAGTCTCTCTTCAGCTAGGTGTAAAGTTCTCATCAATACAAATATCAAGCCTAAACACAATGTAATTGCTGTAAACCGCTGAGGAGTTCCCTCGATTGTCTGTCGTCTCCATCATCAGGTGGACTCCAAACCCTTATCAAATTAATAGTGCTTAACACGTTAAACGCCATGGCAGTCACTGGTGACCGACATTAGCGGAGGATTTGCCTTCAATAGTTTTTTATTGGCAGCCAATGCCTTAAAAAATATTTTTTAAAATCGGTCCACAATTGGTGGATCAATCGGTGAACATACACAAAAACAAATCATCCGAACATAGGCCCTTATCCTTTTTTTGAAGTCGGCAAAAACAACTAAATGACTACTAGCGAAGTGATAGTAAAGTAAGTTGGTAGAATCGAACTTCTGTCGCCGCTCACACCCACCGCTGCTGAGGTGTGACGGGACGCTGGCTCACGCCGCAATAGAGAAGGTGAACTTATTCGTCTCTCTAGCTCAACCCTCATATGGTGGACAACTTCCTTGTGCGAACAGCTAAGGAATGGAACCCCTAGCCGGAATCTGTGTTTCCCGATAAGTATAACTTGGGTGTCTCCAAGTCCCGAGTGAACAGGTTGCTCATAGGTAGGCGTACTCCATTGTCGGCCACATTATCGCTTACCACCAGGCGAGATGGTGGTCAAACGTCGACGTATCAAGGATAAAAAAAAATGTATAATATCGTAGTAAACTTACCCCGCTCAGACAAACACTTAAAAGGAGGCACAAGAAACGAATGTAGAACATGATTAAATAGCTACTTTAGAGCATGCCAATAGCCTTTTATACGTCGAATTGATTGCCACATAAATACTTTTAATTATAATGAATATAAGGTAATACTTATTAACTGTAAGCTATAAATTAAAAATAATAAGAATATAATTTACAATTAGTCACGTATTTTGATATGACCATATTTAATTAAGCTGATTAAAATTAGTTTACGCTAATTTTCACATGCATTAGTGTGTAGGTTCTAAACGAACGTACACAAAACACCGCTAATTAGTTCGCAGCATACATCGACACTACTATCATTTACACAATATACACGTGTGGGTAATTTCATATTAATAGATATGTATAGAAACATTCGTCTATCACACACATCTTGGTATTTAAATATCATTTTTGTGTCGGTATACGTAATAATTTAGTAAATAAGTTTAAATAAAAACGAGGGTAAAGACAAAAATACTCATAACAAACTTTGAATAAATCGAAATCAAATAATGAACGATCGAGCTATACAATACCCATATAAATATAGTGTTTTCTCATCGTATTTTTATGTTACTGAATGATATACAAAATTTCGATGATCTCATCTACAGCGCGCTTGGCGCAATGGTTATCGCCTCCAGTGGTCAAGTAAAGTGCCACCGGATCGATTCCAGCATTCACATGTTGTTTTAGTATTAATTTATCAAATATTTGAAATTTGAAACAATTAAATCTTTTCTTTTTTTTTCTTATCCTATTTTTCCAAATCTTATGTTAATTTTAATAGTAAATACTTTAGATTTATTTATACCTATAATATCTTTTATTTATATTTAGTTCCAGCTATTTATTATTTAGAATAATCTCATTTGCTTCATGCATTTCAACCAACTTAAATAAGATAAAAAAACAGTAAAAAAGTAATAACTATGCTTTCTTAATGGTTCGATACCTGAGTATATTTGTAATGTTTGTGGCGACCATGGAATTTTATTTTACCCGCTTATGAAGAAACTACCGACTATATAAAACAAGTTTTTCAAATCACCCGACTTACAAAATAATTGCGTTCTTAGTTGTCAAATGTATGAGGATTTCATAGTTTATTGCTACGCTACTCATATTCGAGTGCAAAGTTATTTTTATTTTTACAAGATGTTCCAACACCTATCAACATTTAAAAAGGCTGAAATCATTGTTTTGCATGAGCAAAACATACCAATAATTGAAATTGCAAGGCGTTTAATGATATCGGTGAGTAAATAATATACTACGTTGATATTCTATCTAGTTGATATTGTGTTTATAATTTATATCTAGTTGATATTGTGTTTATAATTTAAAGTTATTTATAGATATTAATTATATTTATTATTATTTTTAAGTAACTTTAATTCCTGTAAAGTATTTCCTGGTATTTTAAATACTTATTTGTTTGGTATCAACAGAGGAGATCCGTGCAGTTATGGGTGCACAGATATGCGGAGACCAGTGACGTTGAACATCGTCGACGTGGGCCTAAACCAAAGGCAAATTCATCGGGTCGGCACTACGACATCGTAGTCAGGCACAAGGCTGATCCGTTCCTGCCAACACACACTATAGTGACAGCACTGAATGTTTCAATACAAACTGTACGGAGACGCCTGCATTCTGCTGGTTTAAGGTGCAGAAAGCCAGCGAAGAAAATATTGTTATCTGTGGTGCACCAGCAAAAGCGATTAGAATTTGCTAGGGACTTTATTAATTTTGATTGGGCGAACAGTGTGGTTATATTTAGTGACAAAAACACTTTCAAGTCGGATAAGGATGGGCGTAAAATATTGTGGAGAAAAGATGGAGAAAGGTATACGAATTGCAACCTTCTGCCTTGTAGGACCAGTGGACGTATTACTGTCGGGTATTGGGGTTGGATGTCTTTTATGGGTCCCGGTGAGCTCGTGGAAATATCTGGTCTCAGTAACAGTCATGATTACTTGAATATTTTAAAAAACGTAATGTAGCCTTTATTCAAATTAACTTATGCTGTCTAGAGCATACGGTGAAGTGATTATTGTTATTGTTTTGTGGTTAGAAATTGTCATAAGTAATTTCTTTCTATTCAACATGTTGATTCAATTCACTTTAATTTTTCATTAACAAAATTTAACTGATTTCGAGCTTAATTGACATATTATATTTACGCCCATCTTTAACTAATTTAAAGTTTCCCTGATTCTAAAGGTCATGAATGTTAAAATCGTTCCATAGCATTCGTCACATTTTTTTTATTAACATACATCCCACTGAATATTGAACCTTATAACAACGGTCGTAAAATAGATAATTAATTGAAGATTCCAATGACAAAAAGTCGCCCATTTCAAGAAATAACATGTTAAAATTTCAGTGTAATTTTTTTACATGTTTTACTTGTTTATTACTTAATGTTTTATTAAATTTTTTTTTTTTTTTTGCTTAATATCAGCAATCAGTCGCAAGACTATAAGCAGATGAGTTGAGTGCAATCTTGATTGGAAGACGACGAGGCCATCGCCTCATCTGCCTTTTTAGAAGACATCCTTCCTCTTCAGTCTCCTCTCCATGGATGAAGGATATAAGAGTTGAGTTGCCAGGTCATTGGGATGAACAGCTAGGCGTTCCGCATACTTTTTCTTGTATTTGTCTATCTCTGATTGAATTGTTGGAACGTTCAGATGATTGTGTATCTCGTCATTTCTGGAGAACCACGGAGCATTTGCAATGGTTCGTAGGATGTTGTTTTGTACTCGTTGTAGGCACATTATATTGCTCTTGCTGGCGGAGCCCCAGAGTGGAATACCGTAGGTCCATATGGGTTTCAGGACTGAGTTATAAATCAAGAGCTTATTGTCAACAGACAAGACTGAGTTTCTGCCCATGAGCCAGAGGAGATTTCTAAATTTGATGTTGATTTCATCTCTTTTCTTCTTTATGTGATAGTTCCAGGTAAGTCTTCTATCCAGATGAAAACCCAAGTACTTTATATATTCTGTGTCTGGTAGAGGATCGGCGCCAAGTTTGACAGGTGGACAGTTTTCCCTTCTTAACGTGAATGTAATGTGGTTTGATTTTTGGGCGCTTGCTCGGATACGCCACTTTTTCATCCATGAATAAGTGTCGTCCAGGAGATGTTGAAGCTTGGAACTGGCCACACTGGGAACTTCATCACTAGCGAGGTAGGCTACGTCATCAGCGTATGTTGCAACGACCACGTCATGAGATGTCGGTAAGTCAGAGGTGAAGATATTGTACAACACAGGGCCAAGTACGGAACCCTGTGGCACACCAGCAGTAGTTTTGCGCAAAGTAGATCTAGCGTCTCTCTGTTTTACTTGAAAAAGTCTATCCCCGAGATACGATTTAATGATCGAGTAGAAAGGGTGTGGCAGTTTCTCTTTTACTTTGCACAGCAAACCCTTGTGCCAGACCCGGTCAAAGGCTTGCTGCACATCCAGGAATGCCGCCGAGCAGTATAGTTTACCCTCAAAGCAACGTCTAATTTCTTGGTGAACTCTGTGCATTTGCTCAACAGTAGAGTGCTTCTTACGAAATCCAAACTGGTGGGTGGGAATAATGTCACAAAGTTCCATGTGATCTTTCAGACGAGCCATGAAGATTTTTTCCCATACCTTCGAAAGAACCGGAGTTAGGCTTATAGGGCGGTACGATGAAGCTTCGTGTGGCGATTTACCAGGTTTGTGAATCATAATAATTTGAGATACTTTCCAAAGTTTGGGAAAGTACGATAGTCTAAGGGTTGCGTTGAAAAGTGAGGCAATCAGAATTATACATTTTCTGGGGAGATTCTTTAGAACTGTAGGACTGATTAGGTCAAAACCAGGCGCTTTTTTGGGGTCCAGTTGTCTGATTTCCCGTGCTATTTCTTTTGGTGACGTGGGTTTTATTGGTAGGCACAATTGGAAGTCCTGTTCTAGTATTTCATCCACCTCAGACTCATCATCACCACCCGTGTTTGGCATACCTTCTCAAGATGGTCTGCAAATACTTCTGCTTTCTCTGCATCTGTTCTCATCCATGAAGATGAGGACCTAAGGGGATGGAGGTGCTGTTGCGGTTTATCGATTGTTTTTATTGCCTTCCACAGTGAAGTGTCGCTTTTACCTTTTGGCGACATGTTTTCTAGGAGACTACGGAACCTTGAGTTTGCGGATTCATGTAGGATCTCTTTCAGTTGTTTTGCAGCTTGATTAAATGCAGTTTTATCAGCTGGGTGCTGAGATTGGTGCCAAATTCTTCTTAGTCGGCGTTTTTCAACAAGTTTTGCCTTAATATCACCGGATTGAGGTAGCATCACGGGTAGACGATAAAGGAAGGGTGAGTTGGTCCATGCAGATGCCTGAATCAGGTTAGTTAAGTGTTGACAGGCACGATCCACATCTTCGTGAGTCTTCAGGGGAATGTTTAACTGAATGTTGTCGTCCAGGTAGGTTCTAAAGCCTTGCCAATCGGTTTTTTTATTAGTCAGGCACTCTGGTGGATCTTGGAGAATGGCTGTGGCACTCAAGGTGAGTATTACCGGCGTATGGTCTGATGATCCATCGAGACTGGATTCCACAGAGGAATAGAGGTGACTGATACCTTTAGTAATGAAGAAGTCCAATAAATCAGGCAGTTTATCCGTCTCGGTCGGCCATCTTGTTGGTTCACCAGTAGATATTGGAGTCAGGTGATTCGCATCAAGGCAACTTTTTAGTGCGCGACCTTTTGGCAGTGTAATACGGGAGCCCCAGTACGCGTGCTTTGCGTTCCAATCTCCTCCCGCTATGAATTTAGCTCCGAGTTCGGCAAAGTAGTTTTGGAACATCTGTTGTGTGATTTTGTGTTTAGGTCTTTAGGTGGACAGTAAACAGCAGAAAGTGTGATTGAGCCCCCGCACCCATGTAGTTTGATTGTAGTAGCCTGGATGTGTTCAGTAGCATAATTTTCCAGCTGGGTGTGCTTTAGGTTGGATTTGATCACAATTGCAGTACCCGCTTGGGCTTTGCCAACTCCAGGATGAGGAGTAAAG